TCTCAAAACCCCAGCTCACAAGACCCCCCAGAAATTCTCTTCTGCCAAACCAAACCAGAATAAGCATCAATCAAAGCAAAGGGTATTTAATGAAACCTAAGCAGCAAAGTAAGTAACGCCCCTTCCATACACACAGGGGCGTGCTTTCTCACAAAACATGGGGAACATGTATGAGAAAGGAAACATACCCAGGCAATATACCTCACCAGGGAATATGCACAGCCTGGAGAACTCGCCAGATTCCAGCTGCGACCCTCCTGTCCTCTAAAACCATCATTCAGCCTTCTCTGAATATGCTGATGCCATGTGCTGGTCTGCTGATGTTACCTGCTGGGTTGCTTTTCCACTGAGTTGGTGCTGAGATGTAGTTAGCTGTCTTCTTTGCTGCACTGTCATCTGCTGGCTCCCCACTAAAAAGCTGTACTGCAGTCCCTTCCCAAAGGCTCATTGGTGAGGTAACTCACAACCCCAAGGCTATCAACTCTTTTGTGAGTCAGCCCCACAGCCCCACCCAGTCATCCAACCAAAGTGTTTAGGTCAAGCCTGTCCTTTGAACTGCTTTGTCTCCACCTCAGTATCCACTCCCCTAGAGCTGTCTCTTAGGAGAAACTTTTTCTTTCTCTTCCCATCATGCCTCTGGCAGGTAGCACTGACTGTACAGTGCTAAAGTCTTACTTTAGTAACACGGAAAGGGCAGAGTGGAGCTGATAACCTTTGTTCTACACCTGTAGGAGCATCCAAATCTCTGTTCTCACTCTGCCTATGTTTAGCATCACATGTTCAGGCTGTTTATTTGACCCCAAATTCCTCTACTACCACCACCAACCCCACACCCATTTAGTGAATACAGTCGAAGAAGGAGGGTCCTCCAAGGTCTGCTTAGAGCCTGGCCTGTACACATCACACACTCAAGGCACAGGTCAACACAAGCTGAAGAGAAGGTTTGGATTCTTCCACACCTTACAATGAACCTACACCTACAACATAAAACACTTCAGTTAGCATTTTCCCCTACACATTTTCTCCTTAAGGCTAAACCTCCTTCTTCAACTGAATCCATTTATAATAGCTGAATTCCAGGCACTAATGATAAAAGGGTGGGAGAGATACAGAGATAGAGGGGGTCTTCCAAGGGCTGCATATATGATACCACAAAGGCAGATGCCATCTCTGCCTGCTTGCCAAGGGTTCCTTTGACCCCTTACCTAGAGCACAGACTGACCCCAACTTCAGCCACAGATGGGGTCCTGTCCAGACCTTAGACTGATGAGCTCAGCCCATCCACACTGTGGGCTGTCCTGCTCAAAAGAGGCATCCTTCTGCTGCCAGTGGGACCAGGGAGCAGGAGAAGCATCTTCTCCCATAAAGAACACACATTTTCTGGTCCTGCTGAAGAGAGGCGATGAGAGAGGAGCACATAGCCAGGCACGCATTACAGCAGAACCCTGACGAGCACCAGGATGGGGATGCCAATAATTGTTCCTGATAATTAACAAAGACAACTGTCTTCTCTTAAAAGAGGGCTGCATAATTAATCCTCAAATGGAAGGCTCCTTGCAAATCCCTGGAGGTTATTTTAAGGACCTCGTTGAAGGGAGTCATCTCCATAATAAGAATTACCTGTCACTTCTCAGTGTCAGGAACTGATGATTATGGAGGCAGCCAAAAGTACCATTTCTAGCAGTGAAAGATACAGTCCAGAATACCTCATTACCTTCCAGGTGCCCACATCAAAAGAAGAAGCCCAGGATTTGAGGATGATGAGGTGCCTTCCTCATTTTACAGCAGGGGAAACTGAGGCACAAGAACCAAAAAGGACATGCCAAAGGACTCAAGATGAGTTAGTGTCAGACCCAAGACTAGACTCCTTGTCTCTCAATGTCTTCTTGGTCCAGTCCAAGCTAGAGGAGGCCCCATTATGTTCTGATCCAAAGCGGCCCAGGATTTGACAAAAGGTTAGTCAGGTCATCCAGTGATCCAGATTAAGTCCCTGCTAGTGTTGGGATGAGAACTATTCAAAGGGACTCTTACCCCCTGCCCTGGGAGGATGTAGGAGAGGAGGAAGAGAACAAGAAGAAGGGGGAAGAAGAGGAGGAAGGTGCTGAGGTTCTCTGGGGGCATGTTGAGATTGAGGTGCCAGTGAGGAATACCAGAGGACATGTCCTGTAAGCTGCTGAAGATGCAAAGCTCAAGTTCAGAAGAAATTTTAGAGCTGGAATGCGGGAGTGGTTTAAGCCATGGGGTGCCATTCCAGGTTCTGGGCTTAAACAGACCAAGTCCAATCCTGGATAGGGACCTTGGCCCATCCTATCTCTTTAGCTCATTACTCCCCTCCTATCCCTTCCCACAACACTCCTGCTGTCCCAAGAGCTCGTGGGGACTGGGGCAAAGGCCAAGTTTTGCTCCCAATCTCCCCTTTACTGTGGCTTTATTCTATTGCTGCTCCTTCAGTCCCATGGTACAATCCTCTTCTCCCCAGGAAGGTGGCTCTGCCAAGGAATTCCTCATTTGCCTTCTGGGAGGCTGGAATCTTTAATCTCCTTTCAGGCAATGTGGATGAAACATGCAACCAAGGAGGTGGTTAATACGAGCTTGTCCACCCCTGGTGGCCCAGGGCCACTCCTCCTTCCTTGGCTCTCTGGTCCACCTTCCAAAAATTGCTCACTGCTTCTGTCCCCTTGTACAGATGCAGAACAAGGGGGTGGCCCTGACCCCAAATAGTCTGAGCCAATCAACTCATCCTCAACCAATGAAACCAAGTCCCAAACAAGAGCTGACCACCCTGAATGTTCATCCGTTTGATCAGAGAACTCCCTATGAGAGATTTGAGAGCTGGAATCCATGAGATGAGAGGAAGTCAGAGCAACAGTGAGACTGCCCAGAGAGACAGTGTGGGCAGGGAAGAGGAGAGGAACAAGGACAGACAGAACCTGGCTCAGACAGGACTGAGCAGGAGTACTGAAAGGCTGAGTGGGCCTCCAAGGGGCAGGTCATCTACCCCTGATCTCAGGTAAAAAGCTGAGGGAGGTTTCAGGAAGGGGAGTGCTCAGCCACCAAGCGGGTTGAAAAAGTGGGGCCAGCAGCAGAGACCAGAATGACAGTGTCACGAGGACACCAGTGATTCTGAAGCAGCAGAGGGCTACACCATGCTGGCCACATGAATAAGAGGTAGACATTTCCTGGTCATATGTGCGCCCTTTGTGTGTTCATCTGCCACGCGTGCCCTGTGCTCAGGTGTGCTTCTACATGTGTGTCCTCTCCCACAGCTGATGTGGCTGAGAACAGGCATCTCTTTGGTGTCACTGATTTTTCAATATAATTTAATTAGGTATCCTTTGCTTTGGACTAATGTGCTCCTTCTCACTGATTCAGTCAAAGTGAGCGCAATGGTGGCTGAGCCACATGCATTAGGTACCTGAGCTAGGGGCTGTGTTCTAGGTGGCCCAGTGCTGCAGACTGACTACCCCCACTCCCAGTGGACACATCTCCTGAGGACCCAAAAAGAAAATCCTCCTTCAGAATTACTGGGCTGTCCAGTGTTGCAGGGGGTGTGGTCATATCCACAGGAGTGATGGATGCCAAAGGACATGGATTCCCACCCATGGATCCCCACCCATAGATCCCCATACGTGGATCCCCATCCACAGATCCCCATATATGGATCCCCATCCAAGGATCCCCAGCCATGGATGCCCATCCACAGATCCCCATCCACGTCTCATTGTGCCTTAAAGACCACAGAACCTGGGAGCCTTTAAGGTCTGTCAAGTGCTTTATGTAGGTTCCCTCATTCAGTCCTCACAGCCACCCTGGGAGGGAGGTACTCTTAGTATCTGCACTTTATTGTTGTTATTCAGTCATGTCTGACTCTTTCGTGACCAGTTTGGGGTTTTCTGGGCAGAGATAACTGCAGTGGTTTTCCATTTCCTTCTTCAGCTCATTTTACAGATGAGGAAACTGAGGCCAACACAGTTAAGTGACTTGCCCAGGGTCACAGAGCTAGGAAGTTGTCTGAGGCCAGATTTGAACTCAGGTCTTCCTGACTACAGACCCAGCCTTCTAGCCACTGCACCACCTAGCTGCCCATTATTCTCCTTTTACAGATGAGGAAACTGAGACTGGGAGTAGCCAAGTGACTTGCCAGGATCACTAACTCCTAGGTGTCTGAGACAGGATTCAAACCCAGGTCTACCTGATTCTAATTTTATCCTCAGTGTCCCCTAGCAGCTACTTCTAGATGGCTGGCCCTCCCCCACTAGAATGGGAGCTCCCTGAGAGGAAAAGCCATCTGACTTTTCCATCCAAAGCAAGTATTTCATTAATGCTGTTCCAGTCTTTCATTCCCATGGTAGCTTTTGCTCCTGCCCTGCCCTGGGCCTCCTCTGATTGGCTCATGTCTGAACTTCCTATATGCACAACCAGGCCAGGAATTCCCAGAGGATCTGCCGGGCTTTCCATGATCTCCCCACTGCCCAAGGTCACCCAGAGACCTTGGCACTCAGTCTCTTTCAATGGTCTATGGAATGGTGCTATGTGCCCCAAGCCCAGAGAATCCATGGGCAGTGGGGGGTGGGAGGCGGGAAGAGGCCCTCCTGCAGTAGGTTGCTGAGGAGTGTCAAAGAAATCTGAGGTTTGGACCCTGGTGTCATAAAACAGAGGGACCTGAGAATGGTTTCATTTTTATTTCTAAATGCACAACAGAACATCGAGAGCTAGCCATACCGGCAACGTGACTGAAGGCTGCCCAGCCCAGGGAGTGCCCAGAGAAGTCCTGCCCTGCTACTGGACTACCTTCTCTGGTGAAGCAGGGCCAGAGCAGGGCTGCTCCACCATGGGACCCTCTGGGAAGGAATTCAGTGCTTTCAAACCCTACCCACAGCAAACACACTGTAAGTCAGCAGGCCCATCCCCCAGTCCCTCCTGCCTCATTGTTGTGAGCACAGCATCAGCAGGCCATAGAGACCAGCAAGCAGCTCCCCACCCCAGGCCCTTCTCCAGGCTTAGCCCAGCATGTTCCGGCATCGGCGCCTCTCCTCCTCCCGCTGCTCCTCCATCCGGATCTCTAGCACCCTCAGCTCCTTCCTCACTGCCTTCTGCATGGTAGGGTCCAGCTCCAGCACCTTCTGCAGGTCCGCTTTGGCCTCCGCTTCATTCCACACTTCCGCATGAGCCCTGGCCCTCACATAGTAGGCCTTTGCAATACCTGCAGGAGACAAGGGTCGGAGGAGGGTCTACCTAAACACAGCACCCTGTTGTCCTTCCAGTAGCACCTCTGATCCCAAACAGTGGCCTTGGGACAGAGGACAGGGAGTAGGCAGCTAGAGGCATGGCTGAACGAGCTGCTCACTCACACTTGGCTGTGAGCTCCTCTCTGTCACGGAATCACATTTCAAGTTCAGATTTCGCTCAGAACACAGAATCTCAGAAAGTAAAGGCACCTCAGAGTCCTCCTAGACCTAACCTAGGCCTGACCATCCCCAACAAGGGGTCCTGCAGCCCCTGCTTGAAGACCTCCATGGAGAGGGAGGCCACCACCCCCTGAAGCAGCTCCTTTCATGCTGGGACGGCTCTCATGCTAGCAAAGGTTTTCCTGCCCTATGGCCTCAGTCTGCCTTTTGGCTCGTCTGCCCTCTAGGGCCAAGCAGAACAAAGCTGGGTCCCATCTCACCATCCCCACCTTCACCCACTTCCTGACAGCCAGTGAAGGCAGGAGGGAGGCCTTCAGCATGCGAGGGATTGGAGGGAGGGCTCCCTGATGGAAGATCTGTGGGGAAACCTGGCCAAATTCATGGAGGAGGAGGGGGAGGAGGAGGAAGAGGAGGAAGAAGAGGAGGAAGCACCAGGGGCCCCCCCCACCCCCCACCCCTTCCTGACTCAGTGCCCGCCCTCCTCCCTGCCGCCAGCTCAGACCTGGGTGGTGCTGGATGATGTCACTGGTGTGCTGCAGCACCTCATAGAACTCCTCCCGCTTCAGCAGGCACTGGCAGTAGTTGAGAACCAGGGTGTTGATCATTTTCTCCAACTTCAGCCACTGAACCTCCCAAGCTTTCTCCTGGAGTGGGGGGAGGGGGCAGAGACGGACAGAGAGGCACGGAGAGATGGGGGAGGGGAGAGGGAGAAAGAGAAAGAAAGAGGGAGGAGGGGGAAGAAAAAATAGAGAAAGACAGGGAAAGGGGAGAGACGGAGACAGAGACAAGGAGGGACACAGGCAGAGACAGAGATGGGGTGAGGAGAGAGGAGTAGGGGAAAGAGGAGAGGGGGAGAAAGATAGGAGAGAATGACAGAGAGAAGGAAGAGAAAGAGAGATGAAGACAGAGCCAGAAAGACGGGGTGGGGAGGAAAGAGGGAGAGAGACAGGGAGAGAGCACACAGGCTCGGTGTGGCCCCTTCTCTGTTGTGGGCACCCCCAGCCCAGGACTGGGCTATAGCAGACATCTAGGGAGTACCTGGGGGACCAGGCAGCAAGAGTTCTGCAGAGTGGGCCTGAAAGGCTGCTCCCCCCGGGTCGTCCTGGGGCCCCCTCGGCTCTCCTCAGGTAGATTTTCTGTTTCAGAGATTCCCCCGGCAACTGGGAGAGAGTTTCTCCCACAGCCATCAAGACATGTGCTAGCTGTCCCCCAACACACATACATACATGCACACAAGCACATGCATACACATGTGTGTGCACGTGTATGCACATGAGTGCAAGCACACACATACACACGTGCACACACACTGCTCCAAAGACCACACAGAGTGAGAAAACATATACCAAGGAGAACTGAGGCCTGGGTTCATTCTGAATTCATTCCCGATGACTGAATGCCAGTCGATTGACTGGCTGACTGAGCCCCACATACCTCTGCTTCCACTGTACCTCTTGTCCGTGTGCTCTGTGTGTCTGCTCCTACAGTGACCCTTGTCACTGGGATTCACGCCTGCGTGCAAGACTGTGTGTGCATGTGTGTGGCCACATGAGCACCTTACCTACACTGGCCTCCCGTAAAAAGGCCTCTTGACAGGCTTCCCCACCCAAAGTCCCTCTGGATCCCCTTCTCTTACACTCATCAGAGATTCTGAGCCGCTGCTCTGAGGCTGCTAGGGGGCACCGCTGTTAGCAGAGCGCTGGGCCTGGAGTCAGAAAGATCTGAGTTCAAATGTGAACTCAGACACTTAAGAGCTGTGTGACCCTAGACAGGTCTCAGGTCACCTCGGTCTATCTCAGTTTCTTCATCTGTACAATGGGAACAGTAGAACAGCACCTAATTCCCTGGGTCGTTGTGAGGATCAAACGAGATCGTATTTGTAAAGTGTTTGGCATAGTGCCATACGCACAGTAAGTGTTTAATAAATGCTTGCTCCCTTCCTGCCTCCCCCGTGAATCAGAAGAAAAGCTATGGGGTGACTGATTATTCATTGCTTCGGGTTGTGGGTTGTGCACAGATGAACCACGTGGTCCCGATGAACAGGAAGGCTTTCATCTCCTGTGGAGGATTTCTGACGCCACCATCCAGGCCTGGGGTGGGGTGGGGGGCTCACATACAGTCAGAGGGATTGATCCCCCCCAGGGCTCTGAGGCCATCTAGACCAGGGTTGGCCTCAAAATCTCTGACCAGGAGTCCAGTGTTTCTGGCGTGGCCTGGCCTGAGGGCGGGCTGAATGTGCCACTCTTTCTGGGGTATTTATGTCTGGCTAGACAGTTTCAGATGGCTCAGTCCCCCCAGGCCCAGGCCCCAGTGACCTTCGCGGCCTAGGAGCTGAGGACAGAGACCAGCCCGCCCTCCCACCCTCACCTTGGTCTGCAGGTTCTTCAGGCAGATGATGGCTTCCTGATACTTGGCGGCAGCTTCCTCATAACGCCCCAGCTTGAACAGACGGTTACCGTCGCCGTGGAGGACTGGAACGACGCGCATCTTCTCGTCATTATTGAGGCTCCAGGTTTCTCTCTTGTAATCACTTGGGGATTCCACCTGCCCAGGATGAGCCAGAGCTCAGGGATCGGCCCCTGGAGAGCCTCCCCACCCTAGCTCTATCTACAGGTTCTCAAGCTCAGGCTTCCAAATACTTGGAAATGGGCAGCAGTGCCGCAACGGGCAGCTGTCTTGTGGTTTGCTGCAGCCCGTGGACCTTGGCAAACCTTCCCTTCACAGCCCTGTTAGCACAGGTGAGGAAGAAGGCACTGCATACAGGCCGCCTCTTCTCCGACTTACTTGTCCCTCCCCATATCGCCTACAGCCTCCTAGGCCCAACACTGGCTCACCTCCCCTTGCCCAGAGAATCAAGGAACCAGAAAGAAAATGGATTTGCAGAGGCCAGCATTGTATGGCCTCCTCCTCCTCTGTCCCTGAGGCCAAGTTCAAGGAAGAGCTCTGAGCCTGATTGACTTAAGTGGGGAGCTCAGTGGTTACAGAAAAGTCCTCATGGGGTCAGTGAGGACCATGGCTTCAGACCTGCTTGGAGGGATCTACACTGAGCCCATTTTCTAGCCTTGGGAAGATCCCCAGCCTCTGCCTCAGCCTGACCCCTTAACTCCAGGAAGCAAATAACCAGGGGCTAGATGAGAGAGGCCAGATGCATCTGGGTAGACTCTCAATTCTGTAGCAGACCCAAGGCAAGATGCCAACTGTTGGGCAAGGGGCACAGAAATGAGATGCTTATTGAAAAGGTTGTGGAACCGACAGAGGAAGCCAAACCCGATGAATTAAAAGTGTGAGAGGCAATTAGGTATTTCAATGGGCAATAAGCCATAAACCCCAAGGAGAAGTGCAAATGATGAGGAAATGTGAAAGGAATTAGAGCCTTTCCTCAGACTCTCCTCCTCCCATCCTGAGAAGAAGTTTCTCAAGGTGCTTTTCTCTCTGTGCTTGCAACCACCAAGCAGGTCTTTCCAGCACAGCCTATCCCCCTCAGCTTCCCTGACTGCTCCTCTATGGGGGTGGGGCGAGTGGGGCCCTCCTGCACCACCTGCTTCCTGGGAACCAAGACTTACATCCCCCTGCCTCTGTCCTCACCTTGAGGAGTTCTGTGATGAAGATCAGGGGCTGGGGCTCCTTCTGAAGCTCATCCAAGTCCTCATAGCCCAGTGTGTGGTAGGCAAACATGTTGGCCAGCCCACATGTGTGAACATGCCACTCTGTGGGGTCCTTGCCCTCTGCAATCTGCCTCAGACTCCTTGAGAGGATGGGGTAGACACCAGTGTGCTGGGAGCAAGAAGAGAGCGAGGGAGAGAGAGACAGAGACAGAGAGACACAGAGAGACTGTGGGTGGGATGGGTGCCTAAGGCATCTTCCCTAGCAAGAAGAGAGCATCTCCAAGGCCAGCCCAAGCCCCTACCCCCTCCTCCATACTCTTCTTGGCCCAGCTCATAGCCTTCCCTTCTTTCTAGGGCCAGAGACAGCATCCATAATAGATCAGAGCAGCATGGATTTGTACTGAGAGGACAATTAGAGGTCAGCTAACCCAACTCTTTCATTTTACAAATAAGGAAACTGAGGCTCAGAGATGTGAAGCTACTTGCCCAAGGCCACCCAGGCAATACTTGAACCCAGGTCCTCTGACTGCAAATCCAGAGCTCTTACATTCTTCCCACAGCGAAGCAGGCATCAACAAAAATAGAGGGGTTGGCTTTGCAAACCAGTTGGAGATCTCCAGGGGTATAGTGGACAAAAGGTGGTGGTCAGGAGGGGGCATTGCTAACTGCACCAGACCTTCACCTAGGCTGCTTTGGCAGGAATCACCCAAATTATTTGGGAAATAATGTTAAAGATAGAAAATCCAGTTTGGGGGAAGAAGCCATGTCCAACCTTCAGAAGCCAAAGAGCTCAGTAGTATAGCATAACCCTAACCCTACTCCACCTCCTGGAATAAGGACATGTTATTCAACAACAGCCAAAACTCTTAGGAAATTAGAAAAATAGTTGGACAGCAATTAGGTTTAGACCAATATTCCCCCACAAGATACCACCGTAAGCTACAAATGGTTATATGACCTAAATACAAAAAGATTGTATAATGAACAAATTGGAGGGATGAGGAAGGAGACCTTTCATGACTATGGAGAGAAGTTTTCTTAGCTAACCAAGGGACAAAGTAACATAGGAGAAAAAATGGACAGTTTTTATTACAAAAGAATTTTTTAAAAAGTTTTTACACAAACAAAATCAATCACTAAAATTAAAAGGGAATTAGTTAACTGGGGAAAAAAAATCTTTGTTGCAACTTTATGTGATAAAGGTCTGCTATCTGAGATACATAGGGAACTCATTCAAATGTATCAGGACAAAAGTCTTTCCCCAATAGATAAATAGTCAAAGGATATGAACCAGCATTTCTCAAAGAAGAAATGCAAGCTATCTACTATCATATTTTAAAATGTTCCAAATCACCAATTGTTAGAGAAATGCACATTAAACTAACTCTGAAATGCCACTTTATACTCATCAGGTTGGCAAAGATGACAAAAACGGAAAACGGAAGTGCTGGAGGGACTGTGAATGAATGGGCATACTAGTGTACCGTATGGGTGCAGAAAGCACTTTGGAATTATGCCCCCAAAGTCACTAAACTATGCATTATCCTTTGACCAAGCAATGCCATTAGCAGGCCTGTAACATCAAAGGGATAAGATGGAAAGGACGTATATGCACAAAAATGTCCAGAATAGAACTATTTTGTAGCAAAGAACTGGAAACACAGGGGATGTCTATAAATTGAGAACTGGCTGGAAAAGTTATGGTATACTGACATAATGGAATGCCATTGAGTCATAAGAAATTATTTAAAAGAGAGTGGATGAAAAGAGAATGAAATTATAAAGAGAAACCTAGGAGAATTATGAAAATAGGATGAAATTATGAGTAAAGAGAAACCTGGGAAGTCTTGTATAAACTGATTCAGAGTGAAGTGAGCAGAAGCACAGCAATTTAAATACTGATTTTCACTGTTGTTGTTGTTGTTGTTCAGTCGTATCTGACTCTTCATGACCCTGATTGGGGTTTTCTTGGCAAAGATGCTGGAGTGGTTTGCATTTCCTTCTCCAGCTGGTTTTATAGATGAGGAAACTGAAGCAAATGTGGTTAAGTCACTTGCCCAGAGTCAAACAGCTGGTAAGCGTCTGAGACCAGATTTGAACTCAGGTCTTCCTGACTCCAAGCCCAGCACTCTATCCGAAGCACCACCTAGCTGCCCTAGACACTGACCACAGTATTGGAAAGAAAGCCAACTGTGAAAGACTTCAGAGTTCTGTTAATGTCAAGGTGGATGACAAAGCCTGTCTCCCACCTCTGGGCAGAGAAAAAGACAATGGCGTAGGGGTACTGAAAGAGACTGGTGTTTTCAGACCTGGTCAGTGTGGGCTTGGGTTTACTTAATTCTAACTATGTGTTACAAGGAGAGCTTTTTCTGGATGAGTGAAGGGGTAAGGAGAGTGATGACAAAAAAAGAAGAAAAGATTTGACAAATACCCCAAAGAGAGCGGAAGGAAGTCCAGGGGACACAGGCAGGCACAATCAGGCTGCAGTCAGTGGAGCTTCACAGCTTTGTAGACAAAGCTCTTTGTTAGTTCTTTGTGTGCCAAGATGTTCATGTTTGTGGCTGTGTGGTAAGTGCATGACTCACCCCTCCCCCCAAAAAATTCATTTGAAAAACAAAACGTTTAAAAGACCATCAGAGTCAACCCAGCTTAGTCTTCAAGAAGAGATGAGAAAGTATACGTACACTAGATGGAGCACTGGCCTTGGAGACAGGAGGACCTGAGTACAAATCTGGCCTTAGATGCGTACTAGCTGTGTGACCCTGAGCAAGTCACTTAACCCCGATTGCCTGAAATAAAAAAAAAAAGTGTCCCTCCTTTGTAAAGGTGGGGAACTATGGATGTGGAGCATGATATATATTGTCACAGTTGGTTAATCTGATTTTGTGAACGTGTTTTTTCTTTTTAAAAAAATCCTTTGCTCACTGAGGAGGGGAGGGGGAAATACATATTTGGAAATGAAGGTAATATAAAAAGCAAATGATCAGTAAAAACAATTTTAAATATATGTCAAAAAAGGAGAAAAAAGAAACTCTATTGGAGGTGGTGAGTACAGTAAAGAAATCTCTGGAGTCAGGAATGGGCTGTGAGGCCCAAATGGTCTAAGGTCTGGAGAGGCCTGGGAATGAAAGTCAGCTTGGGCAGTATCAAGGACAGTGGTCACTGACTGACTAAGTACGCCGGGAATGCATTGCAGATTTTGTCAGTTACTTTGCCGTCAGTCATCCGTCAGATGGCTGGGCTGGAGGAAGCAGGGGGAGGATTCTGGGACCTGCCAGGACCCTCCAGCAGTCATTAGCTGGAACATTAGTGGCTCTCAGATGAGATGTGAACACAGCTCTCCCACTTCTCTGTGAGATAAAATGAACATATGGAGGCCAGAGGCTGCTCAGTGAGGATTAAGGCTGGGATAGGGTGAGTGCCTGGAGCTGATACTTGTAGACCCGCTGACAATAATAAGGACTAGTTCTGGCCCATTACACAGTGGGAATGGATGAAGCAACATCTGGAGGTGCAGCTGGCTATGCAGCACCACCCATTGCTGCCCCCTTGCTGCTTCTGTCCAGCCAAAGAGCCTGTGTGTGACCCCCAGGGGAGAAGGAAGTGAACCAGGCAAGGAGCATATACAGAGAGACTAAAGCTCCCTGAGCTCTTCTGCCCACCCTGATTCCTGCCAGGGGTCTGACCTTCCCCCCCCAGCCCCTCTGCCAACCCTGAGCCCTGCCTCCCCCCTGAATCCCTCTGAGCACCCTCACCAGAGCTCTACTCCACTCCCACACCCAGCCCTGCCAGGGATCTGACCCCCCTGTTCTTCGTGCTAACTTGATTTTATGTCACCATGCAGCCAAAGACTGACTCTAAGTGACTGCTGAGCTGCAGCCTCTGAAAGAGGCAAGCTTCAGGGCCTTGTCCTCTCCCAACCCTGCCCCTTCCCCTCCAAGTGGCTGCTCTCCGTGAAGGTTGGCCCTTTTTCTAGCTCCCATTTCTAGATTGCTTTGGGGTTTGCCAGGCACTTTCCTTATATCAACCCTGTGGTGTCAATGCCCAACTCAACCAGCATCTCTGATATTTGGGAGCCAGGGGTGCGGTTGAGGAAAGAAACTCACGGATAAATGGAAAGACCAAACAAAGTAAATACAGAGTCATGATCCCATTAAGAAACTGAGGCTCCAAGAGGTGAATTGCTCCATGGAAGGCCATAAAGATAGTCTGTAGTGGGGCCACTGTCCCTCCCTCTCTCACCAGACCTGGGAAAAAATAGGTCAGCCTATGGGCCAAGCCTTAGGACAGGTTGACCCCCCCAAGTGATCTGATTAGGATTAGGTTAAGCTGCTAAGGAAGCAGATACAGAAATAGCTGCAAGAATCAAGAGAAGGCCAAAAGGGAGGGGGGCTGAAAACAAAGCAAGCCTTCCCTCCTGAAGGGTATTCTGTAGCCAGAGCCTCAGAATCCAGGTTGGCCTCAGAGAGGGGAGGCAAGCTTTCCATGGCAGCGCCCTACCAGAAGTACCCTGCACACGCACCTTTCGTTTTAAGCAAACTCATAGCCATGCTTCCAGACTTAGAGGACTGACCTCCTGCATTCAACGTCCTTCCTAACCTAGCCATCCCCACCTTCCCAACATCCCCTCCCTCCATGCACTCTTCAATCAGCCTCCTGCCTAGTCCTCATCTCTCAGATCTGGGCATTTCTTCTGGCTGTCCCTCATTCCTGGACTGCTCTATCTTTACCTTCTGGCTTCCCCAGCTTCCTTCAAGTCCCAACTAAAACATCATCTTTCACAGGAAACCTCTCTTAATTCTAGTGCTTTGCCTGTTTACTATTTCCATTTCTCTTGTCTATAGCCTGTTTGTACATATTTGTTTCCCCCACTAGATTGTAAGCTACTTGAGGGAAGGGACTTTCTTTGTATCCCCTGTGCTTAGCACAGTGTCTAGCTAGCAGTAGGTGCTGACTGACTGATTGACAATTCCTCCAAGTTTTAAACGTAAGGAATCTGCAGGTGAGACAACATCCTTGTCAGAAATCTTCCTGAGTCCACACAGGACATTTTGTCTCCTTGGGCTTCAGTTTCCTCCTAGGGAATGAGGCATTGAAGGAGATGAACCCTTCCTTCTATAAATTCCAGGAATCTCTGCTTTAGTTGGCAGCAACTAGTGGTGAAGTGGGGTCTTGTGACCTGGCTTTATTAGACATTGGGAGGTGAGGGATCCAAGAGATCCCTCCCCACATGTGATGGGGACTCAAGGCCCAGGAGATGGTTAATGACTAAGAAAAGCTCATGGGAGGAATGTCAGCCCCAGGCCGAGTGCCCTGGAAATGAATGACTGTTTAAAGAAGGTTTTCAACTACAGGAGATCATGGAGAGATTCCCTGCAGAAAGTATTGTTGCTTTTATAACAGATGCAAATGAGGAAGTGAGCTTAAAGTTACTTTTCTGTGATGTCTGTGGTTCACAAGGCAGAAGCTTGTGGAGACATCCTGGTAGGAAGCATTGAGATGTAAATGGAGTGGCGCAGGGCACTTACAATTGTGTCGCACCAGAATTCAGCCACTTCTCCTATCCTCATGGAGGTCAGTAGGATTTCCCAGACTTCCAGTTTGAACATGTTTCCAATGATGATGTGCATGGGCTGGCCGACTTGCTTGCTGTCATCTATGACTGTCCGTTCCTCATCACATTTCATAGTTCGGAAATGAAATGTCACCTTTTTCACAAAAACAACAGAACATATACAAATCACGTTTTCCCCTCTGACCCCTTTCTCTCACTTATTAGGTTTTGTGGATTCATTCATCCTCTATTCAAGCTGGATTCTGTAGTCTTAGTGAAAGAAAGCATATCTGTGGGCCTTGTCAGGTGGGGGAAGGGGGGAGACAGGAGTCTCCTTTCTTGGGAATTAGCCTTTAGGGCTCCAGAAATGTCACTGAGGCAGGCCTGTGGCTGAGGCATAAGCTGAACCCTTCCCAGCTGGGTAGACCAGCCCCAGAATAGCAGGATAGAGGGTCAAAAATGCATTTAGCCCCCTCTATCACTCTAGAGCCCTGGTTGAATTGGTGCCTCCCAATTCCCACATGAATTCATCAGTCATGTGGGTGCCCTTTAGACACAGCCATGCTGGTTCCAGGAATGGTCAGACTTTGCCACTTTAATCACCAGTTCATGGTTTTTTGCCCCTGATCAATGTCCTAGGCAGGACTTTTCTGTCCCCCTCCCCATCCCCACTGTCCCTTGTCCCAAGCCCAAGCCTCTGACTTACTCTGGATCCATTGATGAAGTGAGGGAGGTCCCCAGTCCCTCCATGAAGAATGGTCTTCTTAATGCCTTCCACATTCAGTAGCATGGTTTTCTCCATGGTTGGTGGGACCCTATCAGCGGGTAAGGTTGGAGAATAGCGAAAGGGGTCCTGTCTGCTTCCTGTCAACCGGCTGGATGGCTGTGCTAATCCAGCTCTGATTACAGGAAGCTTAGCATGAATGCATGAAGAGGGAAGGTCAGGATTTGTCCTCTACAGCCCCCATGGGTCTCAGCACTCCAAGAATGGCAGCTTTCTAGAGGAAGAGACCAAGTCCTAACAAAGGCCATGCACTCAGAGGCAGCCACTGAGCAGGTCCCCTGAATTGCTGGGCCCAGAGATGGGAAGGGAGGGGAGGTAGAGTAAGACCTCCAGATGGACAGTGGATGGTATCAGAAGCATGATCTGATTGAGCTAGCCAGAGCAAGCTAGCCAAGCTGACACTCACTCACTCATCAGTCATGAGAGCCTGACCTCAGGTTTTGGAAATTCTTCTACCACTGTGCATTACTGTCCATTGAGGCTTTGAGCCTTCTCTGTAATGGCAGGTTGACTTATCACAAAATAAATGGCCCCATGTTACCCTGGGGAGTGGATCTGGGAGAGAACATGTGCATTTAGAACCCTAGTACTTAAAATGTCACTCTTCTGTGTCCCATCCTGGACAGCCACCTAGCTGATACTCTAGTCAAAGCTCAGGTGGGAGGTGTGGAAAAGAAATAAGAAGGCGTGGTCCTGACCCTTGGTGATCATCTCTAGCTCATCCTGTGAGAGCTCCATTGTACATAATTGTTTGCACATTATCTCTTCCTTTAGACTTGGAGTTCCCTGAGGGCAGGGACTGTCTTTTGCCTTTTTTTGTAGCCTTGGTGCCTAACACAGTGTCTGGCACCTGGTTAAGCCATTAATAAATGCTTCCTGACTGACTACCCTCAGGGAAATCTCAGTCTGGCTGGGCAGGTCGGAAGAACCCACAAAAAAAAATACAAGACTCTAGAAATGATGGAGTAAATCCCAGAATTGCAGAGCTAAAAGGGGCCTTAGGGACTCTCTGGGTCAGAAGGCCAAGGCTGAGAAGGGATGGAGCTTGCCTAAGGTCACCCAACAAGGCAAGGATAATAATCATAGCCATTTAAGGTTTTCGATACTCTTGACATTTGAGCATCTCAGCAACCCCAGCAGGTAGATGTGATTATTATTCCCATTTTACAGATAAGGAAACAGAACTGACAGAGGTGAAGTGACTTTCCTTCAATCAGTCTTACTAAAGAGACAGTTGATAACTGGGTAAGAAGCAGAATTTGAGTCCATATTTTCTTAGCTCCATGTCCAATGTTCTATCCATTGTGTTGCCTTTCAGCCTATGAAGTAATTTCGGAGGAGGGCCCTCAGGACCCATCCAGGGGCATCAGAGAAGGTCTCAGGGAGGAGGTGGCCTTGAACTGAGCCTTAAAGGACGTAAGGATTTTCTAAGAGTCGGAGGTGAGAAAGGATGGGAGGCATTCCAGGTATGGAGTCAGCCTATACAAAGGAGTAGAGGTCAGACAACTGTAAACAGAGTGTCATGTCAGTTTGTCTGGAATAGAAAATGTGAGAAAGAGAATAAGGTTCAATAACCCTGGAATGAACTTCTAGACCAGGGGGTCCTAAGGAAGCATCACCTTGTATGTCCTGGACCCCTCTGGAGGCAGCCAGTCCAGGCCTATGGACCCCTGCTCAGAATCATGTTTGTAATACATAAAATACACAAGATTACAAAGGAAACCAATCATATTGAAATATAGTTGCCAAATTTGGGAATCTGTGGCCTAAAGCCTCAGCTCAAATGCCTCTGAAGACCCAGCACCATCTGAAGTAGCCCACCCCACCTGATGGACAGTTATCATGTCCTTCCTGAGGCTTCTCTTTCCTGAGCTAATCATCCTTGGGGGACTCAAGGCCCTCCAATCTCCTTGTTGCCCTCCCCAAGCACCAAGCACTCTCTAGTTTATCAAGAAGCAGCTACAGGGCACCACAGTGGACAAAGTACTGGACCTCGGGATCAGGAAGAGTCCAGCTGGAAATGTGCCTCAGACGCTACCTTGGGTGACCCCGGGCAACCGCTTAAGCTGTCATCTTCAGTTTCCTAATCTGTAAAATGGGGATAACAGCAGCATCTGCCTCCCAGAGTTGCCATAAGGATAAGTGAGAGGACATGTATAAAGTGCTTTGCAAACCTTATAGCCCTTGTGAATGTTCACTATTATCAGATGTCCTTCCGTTACTGCAGCAACTCATAGCTGAACTAAACGCCACTCCACAGGGTCTGATGAATGCAGAGGACTGTCCTGCTCCCTCCGCCTGGCTGTGGCACTGCCACCCACCCCCCTAAGCTTCCCCACGGCCCCACATTCAGCCCACGTGCTAGTAAGGCCAGCTGCTGCAAGTCTTCCAGGACTGACGCTAATTCTGAGCACCTTGGAGAGCTCTCCGCCTCCACAACTGGGATGCAGAAGGCCTAAAGAATAAGTGAGTTTCTGGCGCCATCTGGTGGTGGCCTGCCCTGATCTCCACAACTCCTTAGATGAGTGGGTGCCTGCAAAAAAGTAATAGGTTTTTCTGAGAACTCAGGAGTAAGGAAGGTTGGGAGGAAAAACCCTACACTTTAAGAGGAGACACTGTTCTCCTTCCTAGGAGCCCAGGGAACTGGGAGAAGTACAAGTGCTGCCCTCAGGAAGCCCCCCCACACACACACACACCACTCTCCCCCTCCATGAAAACCCTCCCCCTCAGGCAAGAGTCAAGTCTCAGTTCATAATGGCCCAATCTGCAGTATGGAAGGAAGACTGACCTTCATGTGCAGAGCTCACACTCCAGCGTGGAAGACAAAATAGAGACCGAACCCATAATACTCCAGGCCTTTGGGCTGCCAGAGAGAAAGCATGGAGAGGAGGGGCATAGGCCCGAGCAGGCCCTCTGCAGGCTGCCTCTGAGTCCTCATAGGAGGATGAGGTTCCCAGATCCCAGGGCATCCCCACATCCTCCAGTCATTCCCTGCCCTGTCCACAGTTCACTGAGGCTGCCCCACTCAGTCCCCTCCAAATCCCGCCCGCTGCACTTCTGTGTGACGTACTGATTGGCAAGTCCTGACCAAGGAGCAAATGTCTCCATGGAAACCAGAGAAGGAAGAAATGTTTTTACCTAACCCCCCTTCCCCTCTCTCTCTCCCCCTCCCCCTCTCCCTCTCTCTCTCCCCCACCTCCTCCCCTTCTCCATTTTTCTGGTGAGGAAGAGTCCCAGTGAGGAACTATTTTTTTTTTGTGAGGCAATCGGGGTTAAGTGACTTGCCCAAGGTCACACAGCTAAGTACGCGTCAAGAGTTTGGTCTGAGGCCAGATTTGAACTCAGGTCCTCCTGACTCCAGGGCCGGTGCTCTATCCACTGTGCCACCTAGCTGCCCTGGAACTTTTCTCAACAAAAAGTAGCACACAAGATCCCTAGAGCTGTCCTGTGGGAAAACGCGGAATTGGCTGGGCCTTTGCCTCCCAGCTCCAGCCACACACCCACGAGGCACTCTATGAGTGTCTGTGGGTTGTCTGATTTAGTGGATGGGGTGGGGTTCTTACTCTATCTCAAAATGAGGGAAACATTACCTTCCTAAAGACATTCAGGAGAGGATTCAGGAGGGGCAGATGGGGAGTTAGAAAACGTGCTTCCTGTCAGGCTCAGCTGGGAGACAAGATACAAATGGCCTCATAAATACAAGATAGATGGGCCAGTGCTGAGATCCCCGGAGGACTCAGGGCAGAGCCCAGACAGGCGGAGCTGGGGGAGGGCAGCAGAGGGAGGGGTCCGTGACGGACTCCTGGAGGAGGGAAGGTTTCATCGAAGGTGAAGTGGGAAAGAGTGGCAAAGGGGAAAGAGCCTTGAGTTGAGAGTTAGAAAAGCTGGGACCTGGAAGCATCCTGGCTCTCTCCTTTTCCACCTCTGTGACCACTAGAAAGCAACTTAACTTCAGTCAGCTCCTTCTTACAAGGAGGAAGTTGGACCAATTGGTAATGTCTAATGTCTCATCCATCTCTCAATCCGACCAGCTAGGTGGTGCCAGTGGTTAGGATGCCAAGCCTGGAGTCAGGAAGACCTGAGTTCAAATTCAGCCTCAGACACTTACTGGTTGTGTGACCCTGGGCAAGTCACTGAATGTCTGCCTCAGTTTTCTCATCTGCCAAATGGGGATCATAAGCACCTCCCTCCCTGGGTAATTGTGAAGATCAAATCAGATAATTGTAAAGTGTTTAGCATAGTTATTGGCACACAGTGATACATAACTATTATTCTTTTGTGAATCCAGCAGAATTAGGGTGGGGGGAAAGTCAGGACGGAAGAAAATGTAGCCCCCTTCCTTCTTTACTGATGGTACCCAAACAGAAAACTCTAATCCTGACCATTCTGCTGAGTTCCAGATTGCCATGGCCTCCAGTGCCCTCCACAAAATGAAGGAGTCCCCAGCTTCAAAGGTCCCAGCGCTGCCAGTCTTCCATCTGGTCTTTCTCCAATTCATCCTTGACGGAGCGGCTGAAATCATCTCGGTCCCAGATCTGATCCTGTCACTCTCCTCCTCAAGAACTCCCCTGGCTCCCTGTTCCCTAGGGCTGGGTACAGACTCCTAAGCCTTGCTTGGAAGGCTGTCCCCCAGCTGGCCACAACTGACCTTTCCACACTCCTTTTGTGCTCCTCTACTTCCCGAACACCACAATCTGGGCAAAGTGCCCTATGATGCTTCCCCCAACTCTGCACTTTGTTCCTTGCCCATCCGAGCCCAAGCCTATCCTATCTCCCCTCCCTCCCTCCCTCCCCATCCCAGCGATCCCAGTCCCAGCTGCCATTTCTCAGAGCCCATTCTTGGTCCCCCACTGACAGTTCCCTTATTCCCCACCCCACCAACCTCCCTGCTAAAGCCACTCACCCCTTCCCCTGTGCTCACTGGGATGCCTGCTCCACAGAAAACAGATTCATTTTCATCTTAAACCTTTTCCTTCCCCAGTCCTTCCATATTCTGGATCTCCCTGAGACTGGGTTCCCTCCTTCTGGAGCCTCCCTGGCCTCCCTTCCAGCACTGGCTGCCCCTTCACTCATTCCCCTGGACTCCCTGGTCATGGGAGGGGAGCTGTACGTTCCTCACTCCCCATTGCCACTTCCAGGAGCTCTCTCTACCAACACTCAGTAACCTCTCCCCTCCTGAGGTTCATTCAACCCATATTTATCAGTTGATCAGGTTCTGGTGATTGTTACCTACTGACTTCCACAACACCCTCCTTCCTTTCTCAGAGTTCAGTGCCCACCCCTGTCACCAAGTCCGGTGAATGTCTCACGTCTCCTATATGCCTCCTCCTCTCCTCTGACCCTGGCTCCTGCTGGCCTGGACCCTCCTCACCTCCCTCCTGGACTACTGTAATAGCTGCTGGTTGGTCTGCCTGCCCCAAGTTTCTTCCCATTCCAGTCCATCCTCCCCCTCTGTTGCCAAGGAGGTCTTTCTAAAGTATAGGCCTGACCATGTCACCTCCTCCTCAATAAAATTCACTGGCTCTCTATCACCATCAGAATCAAATATAAAGTCCTCTGGCATTCAAAGCCCTTCATACCTGTCTCCCACCTTTCCAGCCTATGTTACACTACCATCCCCACCATGTACTTGGAAATGCAGTGAGCCTGGCTAGCCATTCCTCCAACAAATCCCTCCATCTCCTGACTCCAAGCCTCTTCCCTGGCCACTCCCCCCCCCCATGCCTGGAATGCCCTCCTTCCTCATTTCTGCCAGATGGCTTCCCTGCTCTCCTTCACGTTCCAGCCAAAGTCTCACCTTGCCCAGGAAGCCTTCCCCAAGCCCCAAAATGGCAGCATCTTCCCTCTACTGCTTCTCATTTATCCTGCATTTAGTTTGCTTGCACGTTGTCTCTCCTATCACCTGGTGGGCTCCTTCTCAGTGAGGCCTTTTGCCTTTCCTAGTATCCCCAGCACTAGTGCCTGCAACAAAGTACTTACTCAGTCAATGTCTATTGCCTGCCTCAGTCTTTCTTTTGTCCCCAACTCCCACCCTCCTACAAGGGGACTTCAACATCTGTACTAAGACTCCCTCAAACAGCCAGTCTCCCATCTCCTCCACTTCATTTCCCAGGACCTCCTCCTCCAAACCAGCAGACCCAACCCACACAGAGATGGTCACACCCTTGATCTCGCCATCACCCACGAAGGCACCTGCCCTCATCTGATCACAACCCGTAGTTCTTCCACCTTTCCCTCTGCCTTAAAACCCCAAACTCCCAATTCCTCAGTAGCAAATAGTCAGTAAACATGGATTAAGCACTACTATGTGCCAGGCACTGTGCCAAGTGCTGGGGATACAGGTGCAAAAAAAAGACAGTCCTTGCCCTCAAGGAGCTCGCAGTCTAGTGGGGGACAATACCCAAAAGGTAGCTGAAAGTGGGGGCAGCAAAATCCAAAGTCATTCCAAAGCAGTGCAGCTGTTGGGAAATGGGGAGAGGACTGTGCTGAGCCCCTCTTTAAACAGAGGCCCTGGAGCGCATGGCTCTGCCCTCCAGTCAAGGACGGCGCAGTCAGAGGACCAGAGGCGGCTGATGAGCTGGGAGGACCAAGGCTGACTCAATCTGGCGGATACCGAGGTTTCCCAAGGATGAGTTTCCTCGAGAAGAAAGGCATGACAGATAGGTCCAACGGAGTCCAGGCCCCCCTCACCCCTGCACGGGCTATATACCCTTCTGCCTCCCCCATCTTGACCCCTTGGTGAACCAGATCAGCTCTACACTATCCTTTCCCCCTCCCCCCATATTCTGACCCAGAGCTTGCATTGACTTGCCTCTGTCTTGGATTACTCCCACCCTCTTAACTCTAGTGCCCCTCTTCTTATCCTGTCTGCAGCTTGTCTGTTCCTGTCTGTTTGGTTTTCAGCTCCCCCGTTAGATTGTGCGCTCCTTGGGGGCAGGAACTGTCTTTTGCCTTTCTTTGTATCACCCGTGCTGAGCACAGTGCCCAGTGCACAGTAGGTCTTTAAAACATGTTTAATGACTGCCTGACCTCTGGGCCAGGCTTCTGGTTTATTCCCTAAACGCATCTATTTCCTGTTTCTGTCCAGGTGCACCATAGTGTACGTCGGTGAGAGCAGCCACAAACTCACTGGAGCTGCTTCTTTCTGGATGCTTGTGAGATGGGATCTCTGGATTTTGGCCAGAACATTCCTGGTTAGCCCTTGTCCTGTTGGCTGTAGGCTTCTGTACGCTCCAGCTCTCAGCTCCAGGCATTTGTCCAGACTGTCCCCCAGGCCGGGAATTATCTCCCTCCTCTGCTCCAACTACTGACCTCACTGGCTTCCACTCCTACTCACAGGATGAAAATCACAAAGATTCAGATCCACTACAATTCAATGAACAATTATTAGGTGTTTACTGTGTGCCAGGGTACTAAGTGACAGGAAAACAGAAAGAGGCCAAAGACAGTCCCAGACCTCAAGGAGCTTACAATCCAAGGCAGAGACAACATATAAACAAATATATATGAAGCAAAGAAAAGAGGGAAGGCGCTGGAATTAGGAGGGCTTGGGGAAGGCTTCCTGGAGAAGGTGGGACTTAGTTAGGACTTAGAGGAAGCCAAGGGGCCAGTTGTTGGCATGGAGGAAGGAGAGTGTTCCAGTTCCAGACCTGGGGGAACAGCCCGAGAAAATGCCCAGAGCTGGAAGGTCTTGTATGTGAAGTCAGGAGGCTGGGGGTCACTGCCCTGAAGAGTATATGGTGGAAAGGTGTAGGAAGTCTGTAAAGAGAGGTGGGGCCAGATGATGAAAGGCTTTGAATGCCAGAGCATTTTGCATTTGTTCTTGGAGTACTAGGGGGCCCCTGGAGTTTATCAAGTAGAGGATGCCATGGTCAGACCTGAGCTTTAGGAAAATCACTAGTGGCTGAAAGGAAGATAGACTGGAATGGAGAGAGACTCTGGCCAAGCAGAGCCCCCCTCCCCCAGCAGATGAGGGTCAGCAGGGTGGTGGCAGTGTCAAAGGGTAGAAGGGGGTATTAGAGAGATGTTGCAGAGGTGAAATCAACTAGAGATGTTGCAGAGGTGAAATCAACTAGAGATGTTGCAGAGGTGAAATCAACTAGAGATGTTGCAGAGGTGAAATCAACTAGAGATGTTGCAGAGGTGAAATCGACAAGCCTTGGCACCACACTGGATAGGTGGGTTAGAGAGAGAGTGAGGAGTCTAGGACGGCTGGGCTCAGGATCTGGGAGGATGCCCAAGCTCTCTACAGTAAAAGGGAAGGGAAAAGGGTAGGGTGGTGTAGGGGAAAGATAACAAACTGAGTCTTGGAGCTGATGAGATTAAGATATCTACTGGACATCCCATTTAAGATGTCTGAAGGGCAGTTGGAAATTCGAGATTGAAGGTCAGCAGAGACTGGGGCAGGCCAGGGAGACGTGAGAATCGTCAGCATAGAGAGGGCCATTTAATGCATGGGAGCTGAGGAAGAGGAGCAGAGGACTCAGGACAGAGCCTGAGGGACACCCATGGTCAGAGGGCATGATGTGCAGGAGGATCCAGCAGAGAGACAGAGGAGGAGAAGCAGAAGAGAGAGACAGACAGAGGCAGAGAGAAAGAGACAGAGAGACAGAGAGATGTCCTGAAAACCCAGAGGGAAGAAAATTCAGGAGAGAGTGTCCCAGGCTGCAGAGAGGTCAGGGAGAATGAGGACGGAGAAAAGGCCATTGCGAGATCACTGGCCACTCGGCGGCTGCGGAGGAAGATGAGGTAGGAGCCCTGGTCCCACGGTCAGTAGCAGTTCGAGAGGCCCGGCCAGGAAGCCATCGAGGGCAGCCTGAGACCAGGGTTTTCAAAAACCGCCAATGTGGAAATGCTTTGTGGCTGACTGGCCCGGATGATCACTTCCCGCTCTGGCCGGCCAGGGCTGCAGAAGCCCTCCCCGCTCAGTTCCTCTCCCCCTCCCCCTCCCCCTCCCCCAGCCCACTCCAAAGCCTCCACCTTCCCTCTGGGAGCTTGGCCCTGGGCCAGACTGACAAACAGCAAGGAAGCGACTCCAACCGACCCGTGGGAAGGCGCTACGGGCTCGGGGCGGGGACCAATAGCAGGAGAGGACTCCTCCCTTCGGCTCCAACGGACCAATGGTGAGGCTCTTTGCAGGTTTGGGGCGGGGTAGCTTGGGGCATCGGAACAATGGGCTGCGCACTGGGGGCGGAGCTTCGGACCAATGGCAGAAGAGGATTCCTCCCGCAGGTTCCAATGGACCAATGGGAGGGCACACTGCGGTCCCGGGGCAGAGCATTGGACCAATGGGCTGTAGGCCCGGGCCCCGCGGCCAGTTTGAACCTGGTGGGTAGAGGAGCTGGACGTGGGGCGGCCGCGGACGCACTGCAGGTAGGAGATCCAGGACCGACCAGGATCTGGGGCTAGATGGGGAAACTGAGGCCCAGGCTCCGCGCTGCCCCGCAAGGAGCAGCACAAAGTGGGGGGGAGGCTGGGCCCCTGACACCCCCCCATCCCTTCAAGGGCGGCAGGGTCCCTGTCCCCCTTCAGCCCCCCACGCCCAAAGGCTTTCTTGTCCTCCTCCTGTCCCCCATGTCCCCCCTGTCCAAATAGCCCCCCAAAGGAGGGGAGCACTGGGCTTTCTTCCCCCCACTTAGGACCCTCCCTTTCCTTTCTCATGTCCTCAAGCTCCCACAGCACTCGCCCCACCCCCCAGGCAGCAGGGAGGGGCAGGGGTCCCACTGGGCCTCTGACACCCCCCCCCATGCACACAAAGGCCTCCTTGTCCTCCCCGCCCATCCCCCAGCCGGGGTGCTGCAGTACTGGGGGGCCCTGTGGGGGCGGGGCACCCCTCCCCTTGGACACAGAGGTCTCTTTGTCCACCCCCACCCCCAGTGGAGAGGGCTGGGGGGGTGGGGCAGGGGGCACAGCTTGGGCTGCCCTGTTTTTGTCCACAGCAGGCCCATGTGTCTACTGAGTGACCCACAAGGAGGCTCATGGTCCTGCTCTCCATGCCCCGCAGGTAGGTCCCAGGCCAAGGCAGGGATGACTTCGGTGTGGCAGGGTCTGGGAGTGGCCAGAGGCCGCAGAAGCCGCCAGATGCTGACGGAGGAGAATCAGAGCCCAGAGCCGGGCCCGCGGAAGCCACCGGCCAGCTCTCTGGACAGCCTGTGCACCCGCCTGAGCAGACGCCTGCCCCTGAGTGTCCTCGACGCCAACTTTCAGGACGGGCCATCCTGGGAGCCTCTGGAAGGCTCAGAGAGATCACAGGGGGCCGGCCGCTCAGCCAGGAAGGCCTTGGGATCTGTGGCTCAGGTACCCAGGATGGGCCCCCCCCGGGCGTCGGTACAGCCCAGCCACGCCCACTGGACAGCCGTCCTGGCTGACCCAGTGCATGTGTCCATTACAGAAAATCCAGAAGTCATACCAGGGAGGCAGCCAGAGGAGAGAAACGGGCCATGGCCACGGGGGGATCCCACACCCAACGAGAAGGAGGAGGAGGAGTGCCGGGCTGTCAGGGGCTCCCTCGCCAGGCTCTGGGGCCAGATGGCGGACCCCCACCCCTTCATCCCAGGGCTCAGGGCTGAGAAGGCTCTCCAGATGGATCACCAAGGACCCCCTCCTTCCTCTGCGGAGGCGCTCCCAGCGGGAAGCAGCCCTCCGCAGCCCATATTCATCCCCAGCTCCTCTCTGCTCCATGAGGCAAGCCAGACCAACAGGGCCCCTGCCCCATGGGGGTTAGACAGGCAGTCTGGCCGGCGTGGGTCTCCAGGTCCAGATTCCACCTGGGCGCCGTCTGGCCCCTGGGAGCCCAGGATGGGGAGGCCTGGCTGCCGGGGCTTTGCTGCGCCCTTCCTGACCAGTTGATTGGTGCTTGCTCTGTCCAGAGGTGGGTGCTTGGAGGAGGAAGAGGAGGTGGAGTCTGTGGCCGCGGGCATCCAGCAGCTGAAGCGCCTGTCTCAAGCCTTTGATGAGGCCATCGCCACAGATGAGAGGCGAGTGTGGGCCCGTGGGCTGGGCTCGGGGTTGGGGGGAGGCAGAGAAGAGGCCCCAAACCTGAGGTAGAGAGCGTGGCCCCTGCCTTGCTGAAAGCCCTTCCCTTATCCACACTAACAGCCAGGGCAGGAGTGCCCTCTTCGGGGGTACAGGGAGCCCTCCCTGTCCTGGAGTTAGGGGTCCCAGCACAGCCTGGTTCCCAGATATCCTGCCAGTACCCCTCCGAACACTTCACACACACATCCAGCCTTGTCTGGGGGCCCCAAGGCCAGGAAGGATGGGGCTGGGCTGGGGTCCTGCACCCTGCCCTCTGGCTCCCTGGCATGTGAGTGGTAACACGGCCTCCTCCCTCCTCTCCTATCTCTTGTCTTAGTGACTTGACTGTTTCTCTCATTCAGAACTGAAGAGGGGGCACGGGCATGGCAGGTAAAGGCTGGGGGGCGGTGCCTGGCCAGTGCCCAGGGGCGGGGGTGGTCTTGAAGGTACCCGGGGACATCTCCTGGGACCCAAGGCTGCATCCAGCCTTGCCTGAGAGTTTCTCAGGGAAGCTGGAGCAGCCCCTCCCCTAACTAAGCCAGCATGATGAGCCCCAGCTCTTCACCTCTGTCCCTCTCCCACCCTGGCAGGGTCTTCTGGTGTCCAGCCTGAGGAGGCGTCCGAGCTGTCAGAACTAGAGGGCGGGGCTGGCCCTATGAACTGACAGCTCCTTGGTCTTCCACAGGAAACAAGCAATAGGGCGTTACTGCCTGCTCATGACCCATAACCTGAGGGCCGTGAGCCAGTCTGAGAGGCGCCCCTGGACATCTGGACGGAGGCGCCCATGACTGGTGGATTGTGGCCACCGACGTTAAGGTGTGATCCCCTAGAGAGGAGGGTGGATCCCTGGCCAGACACCCACAGGGCATTTCTCCAGCTTGGGCACCCACAAACCTCACGTTTGGACTGAAGCTTCTTCCTTGCCTCCAGAGGGCTTCCTCTGCAAACCCACTCCCACCGTGGGCAGAAAGGGGCTGCTGCCACAAGGTGGCATGCATGGGCACGTGCAGCAGCAGCTGCGCCCAGCCATGGATGGTGTTACTGCCAGGCTGGGCTTGGAGGTACCCCCTATACCCACTCCCAGCCCCCAGGCTGGCTCCACCCTTGCCTGTCCGCCCAGGCTTGACTTGCTGATTTAGGGTTGATAGACCCTGCCCCTTGCTTCAACTCTGTGTGTTAAAAACCACTGCAGCCCGGCACTGCCTTGGCCTTCTATCCCCTATTGATAATAAATTGTTTCTTCTTTCCTACTGCAGGGTCTTTGGTTCATGGCGGGGTGCTGGGGAGAGTCCAAGTCTGTCTGGTCTAGGGGTAGTCAGGGAATGGCACCTACACATGTGGATGGGGGATGGGGCCTTGGCGGGGACCTCACTACACTTGGACTTGGGCCTAGAAGGTGGGGGTCCTGGTGAGCCAGTGCTGGCCTTTGGCCTCTGTCTCTTCAAGCCAATGAGCCCTTCCCCAGATACCTAACCCCACTCCTCGTACCCAGGGAATGGAGGATCTGGAGCAGGGCTGAGCTTCTAAGCCACGGCTGGGTAAGCGTGTGAAAGCAGTGTCCATGGTCGGGCAGGGGAGCCGCCCCAGCCCTAGTCAGAGCATAGCCAGAGGCTCAGGACAGTTCTGGGAGCACCAATCAGCATCCTCAAAGGCAAGGCAGGTTTTTATTTGTGACAGCACTGGAGAGGCAAAGACCAGCTCCCATCAAAAGTGAGACACTTTGTAAAAATCACAACACCTTGGTTCTGAGAAATCTGGTATTGTACATGTTTAGACCCACTTTGTACAAGAGTGGCATAAGAAAGAACCTTTGTCACCACAGAACCTCACTGACAAATGATATTAGAAACTATATGGAATTAATGGAGACCATCACAAGGGCCGAGAGAAAGAGGACATCTTTCCAGAGACCCTGGTGAAGTGGGGGTCCCTGGCGAGGAGCACGGCTGCCTTCCTTTGCCCACGCACCCACAGAGGTCAGCCAGGACGGCTCACTTGGCCCATCCTCGCTGGCTCTGGGATTCCCCAGCTGCCTACCCAAAAGCCACCCGAGGTCTCGATTTCACTCCCACCCCAACAGGACCACGGAAGTCTAGGTCTCAGAAAAAAGGGGTGGGGGGTTGATCTGGGGTGGGAGATAAAGGGTAAGGCCCAAGGAGTCTGAGGGGAGAGGGGGGTGAACTGGGGGGCAGAGCCATGCCCCTATCAGGCTGGGGCTCCAAGCCTCCCCTCTCATCTGTGAAGGAAGAAAGGGATATGCAGGCAAAGCAAACACTCGATGCGGGGAAGTTGCAGAAGGCCCCAGAAGCACGTGGAAGGTGACCATTGTGCATTTCTATAGGACTGAGCCACCATCTTACCAAGTCAGATGGCGAGTTAGGACATGGGCCTCAAAGTGATAAGATGACATCGCTTTTAACCGCCTCCTCCTGCCCAGCCAAGGGCTCCCTCCTAGCCCCCCACAAGTCTCTAGAACCTTCTGGGAGCAGCTTTGGACCTTTGTTCCCCCCAGGCCAGAATCATCAGGTATTGGTTGAAGGGAAAGGCGAGCTATCCAATAAAATGTATGAACAAGACCCTTCCCCTGGGGCAGGTGCAGTGAACAGATCTAGGTCCCCAGGAGTGCCAGAGAATGCCCTTGGGCTCCCGGGACCCAAGCACAGGCAGACCTTAGGTGGGCAGCCAGGGGATGGCAGTAATGCCCCTGGCTCCCGGGACCCAAGCGCAGGCAGACCTTAGGTGGGCAGCCAGGGGATGGCAGTAGGAGTGCCAGAGAATGCCCCTGGCTCCTGGGACCCAAGCACAGGCAGACCTTAGGTGGGCAGCCAGGGGATGGCAGTAGGAGTGCCAGAGAATGCCCCTGGCTCCTGGGACCCAAGCACAGGCAGACCCTAGGTGGGCAGCCAGGGGATGGCATGCCTAGAGCTGTAGCCTTGTCAGCAGTAGGGTGAAGGGGTGGTTAGGAGGAGCAGCAGAGCCTGCCTCGTTTGGGATGGGTGGGTTGGGCTGGGGGTCACCTGTGCTCATCCCTCACCTAAGTACGTTTTCTCCAGCTTCACGGGAAGACAGCAGACTAACCAGTCAGATGAGGGATGGGGAGCTGCACACAAACGCACACACCTGCACACACCGCGCACACATGTACACACAATCTCAGCCCAAGCGGTGAGGTGGGTATCTGGGAAGGGTCCCCCCCTGCTGCAGAAGGCTGCTGCTGTTGGGCCTGAAGGGGATGGGGCTAGTGGGGCAGGTGCAGCAGGCTCTGGAAAACAAAAGGAGCCTCCCCCAGCCCTGGTGTGAGGAGGGGCCCAGGCCAGCATGCTGAGTACCCCAGCATCCTCACTGGGGGGCATTAGCATCCTGACTTGGCTCCCTGGGAACATGGGAAGTTTGCCAGTAGGCCCTCGGCACCCTTAACTCTAAATGGGTGTAGCCCTGCCCCAAGCCCAGCCTTGCTTAGAAAGATGAGATGGCAGAACCTCAAAGAGGGTGCTGGACCAACTCTGCTGATTGACAACTGGCCAACAGGGCTCCCCCAAGGCCTCTCCCCTAGACCCCTTGGCACTGAGCTCAGCTGATCCTCCAAGAAGAAACAGAAGAGTCCACATGCCTTCCACCTGGGACCTGAAGTCCTCTGGGTTCAGTCAAACCTGCCCCCATGGCCTTGAGAAGGAGCCCTGATCTGTGAAGGAACCATGGCAGGCCAGTCCCTGGACGACCCCAGATTCACTTTGCCCTTTCCAGTGCAGCCCCATAAGGCAGGGGCCTGGGCTGGGGAATGCAATTCAGGGCAAAGCTGCCGCCTGGGCCAGGGCCCTCCTAATGAACCAGGACCTTGTGCGTGCCAATACTTCGCTCCAGTGTGGAGCCCCTGCTGAGCCAGGTCAAGAAGACTGGACAGAGATGAAGTCCCCTCCACCCCTCCACCGCTCGTCCAGAGCTCTGCCGAGATGCGCGCTGATCCCCAGGGGAGACGGGCCTGGCCAGGAGTGACCTACAGAAAAGAAGCATGTCTGGTGGTCAGCCCAGCAGTCAAAAGGGACTGCGGCTGAGGAGGGCACCCTGCAGGTGGTCAGCAGTAAGCACTTAATTAATAAAGGTTTGTTGACTGACTGCTGCTCATGGACATCTGTGGTCCAGGCTGAGAAGAGTTTGGCCAGAGCATGGTCTGCTCCCTGGCTAACAGAGGTAGACATGAGACAGAAGCGGCGCTGTGCTCACCAGACCAAGGCTAAAGCGAGCTGGGCCATCCCAACCATCCGCAGCTGCTTCCCCAGTATGGAGGCGCTGTCCCAGCTCCAGACCCAAGAAATGCCCAAGGAAAGAGCTGGGACGTAGGCTGGGGCAGGGAGCCAGCCGGCATCAGTCAGGCGCTAGTCAGGCACCAACCAGGCATCAGCCAGGTGCTGGCCAGGTGCCAGCCGGGCATCAGTCAGGCCTGTGAGGGAGGCAGGGGCCAAGGCCAGGAGGAATGGAGCTGGGGAACAGATCAGCACAGGGGCTTTGGCCCCTGAGACCCTCCAGGCACAAACCAGGTGGGCACATAAATGAGTGAAAGAAGACAAAGGTGAGCCTGGATCCATCCAGAAGCAGCTCTGGCAGCCTGCGAGGGGCAGCGGGGCTCGAGAAGGGCTTCCCCGGCGGAGTCAGACACCAACGGTCACAGTGAAGGTGTGCGCTGGACAGGAAGTGGCTCGGGCAGGCAGGTCCTAGCTCATCTTCCAGACAGAGACAGGAGAGGCTCCCTGGAGATGGCTGGCAAGCCCAGGGTGCCCTCCCACCCTCCCACTGGCCTCTTTCAAACCTTCCCTCTGTCCTAAAATAGCTCCCTCACTGACCACCTGACATGGGCGAGCATTCACGACGATGGTAGTGCTGAGCTTGGCAGGTCAGGGGAGGATGGGGAGGGGGATCGGGACTAGGGCACCCAAAGGGCCATCCCCAAAATGGGTGGACTGGAGGTCAGAGACCATCCGTCGTAATCACTGGTAGAGAATGGGTTGAGATCCCGGAGTTGATCAAGTCACATGCCCTCATTTGACAGGTGAGGGAACTGAGGCCCCTCAAGGCAAGAGACTTGCCTGTGGTCACACCGTGACAGAGCCGGGGCTAGACCCCGAGGCTGCTCACTGTAGTCCAGTGGGGTCAGGGTGGAGGGAGCCCACAGAAGGACATTGGACGGGACTCAGGGCGGAAGAGTCCTGAGCTGTTCATTCAGGGAACCTAACGTGACCCTAAGCCCCCCTGGAGAGGGCAGCAGATGAGCGTGGATGGGGACAGCACCGTCAGCACCAGCCCCTAGCGGGAGATGTTGACAAAGACGGCCACCTACCATTAAGAGAAGGCTCCATGGTACCAGCAGCAGCCACTTTGCAAACAGTGTTTGGGGGCTCTGCAGGCCAAGACCTTGCCATGGGAAGAGCGAGGGCTGCCACCAGCAGTGATAGCATCTCCTAAGACTTCCCTGGGGCGGGGGGGACTGGAGCCCTGCTGGCCATCAGAAAGCATGACGGACCCAGGCATATGGTTCTTCCCTCCCCCCATCACCTCAGCACTCCACCAGGGGACGCAGGTCCCCCTGTGGACACGTATCGAGAGCCTTGGCCCCCGGCCACAGGCCTTTCCCATGCCTGCACAACCTGTCGGGGAAAGTCCCAAAACCTATACAGACGATAATGAATACCCCAATCCTGGGGAGATGAGGCCAGCTCTTGGACCACAGCTGGGGCTGCTGTCATCAGGCCTGCCCATCTCCCCCTCCCCCAGCAGCTGGTTAGTCTCCAGGGACTAAGGAGGGAGCACTGGTCACCTGCTGCGCCCCTCATTCTGTTCCCAGGGCTACCACTGCCTCAAGCCACAAGCAGTGCCCGGGCGGCTTCACACCCTCACAAACACACTCCAGAGCGCCCACGCTTGCAAGGTTTGGGTCACAGCTTCCCCAGGGGCCATTTCTGGACAGACACAGGGCGGGGAACAAAGAAGAAAAACTCCTTGTGTTTGGGAGAAGGCAGACTGACCCCTGACCCCCCCCCCCCTCCTCCTCCGCCTCCTCCAGGCAGGCCTCCCACTCAAGAAGGCAGCCCCAGACTTTAGGGCACCGACTCGAACTTGTGCGGGCCACCCCGGGCCCAGCCCACTGCGGGGAGGGGCCGCTCATGGTCTTTGTCCGACTCGGGCTGGCTCTGGGCTCGCTCGGGCTTCGGGGCGACCACTGGCGGCTCGGGCTGCTGGACGGACATCGTCCTACGCAAATGGTTCCTCTTTCGCAGGAACTCAGGCTGAGAGTGGAGGCCAAAGCTGCCTTTGCGTAAGATCACTCGCGAGTTGTTCTTCTTGGGCCGGGCCCGGTGGCTGGACTCCAGCAAGGCCAGGTGAGCCGCATATCCCTCACTGAGAAACTGAGGCAACAAGGGGAGGTTCAGAAGGGACCGTGCGACCTCCTCCCCAGGAGCCCTTGTCTGGGACTAGCTGCCCCCACCTCACACCCGCTAGTACCTGGCACTGACGCTGGTACTTCTTGGTGGGGCGGCCCACAATGAAGATCTGGGAGGGGGGCAGACCCAGAGCGCTGTAGACAGAGATGTCTTTCATGGAGCCGTAAGCAGCGCTGACCTTGATGAAACACTGAAAAGCAGGTAGAACCCCCAGGAGGGAGACTGAGACCAGTGGAGCCCAGTAGGCTGCTGGCACATGCCAGGGACTCCCCGAGCTGCCAGTCAGACTAGGGAGCCCCCGCCCCCCAACTCTCAGCAGTCTCCCTGCTTCATTACCAAATCACTGAGTGCTTGTTGATAAGACACTAGAAATGTCCCCGGCCATGCTGTGCCCAAAGATTCAAGATAATGCCTTCTTCCCCCCGATGCCTAATATGGGCTGCACCCCAGAACTTAGGTAATGTCTCCCCATTGACTGAAGAGATCTGGCTCGGTCTAGCCCCACAGCAGCCTGGTCCCCTTGTTCCCTCAGCTCCATAAGGCCTCTCCCTCGGCCTCCCCCATTGGTCATGACTGGATAAGACTCAGGGCAGGGAAGGTAAGAAGAGTTCCACTCTGAATGGAGGGCCAAGGGGTGATCTCTATGACCCTGAGGGATGAGTCTGTGGCCTTCTTGGTCTAAGGCAGCTGAAGGTTCAGCCACCATCTCATCCTCAGAATCTGGACCCTGGACCCAGGCCCCCAGGCACACTGCTCAGTCAGCCAATCTTTAGGGTACCAATTCAATTTTGGGTGAGCTGCCATAGATCCAGCCACTGGTGGCAGGTGTAGGCTGTGGTCAGGTTGGCTCTGGGCTCACTGAGGTGACACCCCCCAGAAAGCAGGTCTGGGCATGGGACACATCTGCCAAGCTGTGATATTTGCTGTTCCCCACACGACATACATCTTCTACTTCAGGGCCTTTGCAAAGGCCATCTCCCCTAGTATCCTTTCCCTCCTCAGTGCCCCTTCTGGAGTTCCCAGCTCCCTTCAAGGCTCTGAGCTATTGACACCTCCTTCAGGAAGCCCATGACACGGCTGGGTATGTTATACTGTCCAGTCCTGCCCTGTCCTGCCCTTTCCTGTCCAACCCTGCACCCACCTCCTGTACGAGGTTCCGGAGGAAGATGGCCTTCTGCCTCAGGGGGTCATGCACCAACCCATCAGAGAAGAAAATCATGCCTTGGGGAAAGTTGTGCTGGGCCAGCCAGGACACCACCCGCTGCTTCTGCAGGTCTGGCCGCCCAGTGATGTAGAGGATCAAATAGCCCAGGTCCTGCCAGTGCCTGCAGGTGCAGGATATAAAATACACCCACACAAATCATCAGCATCTCTGTGTGTGATCAACAAAGTCCAGGAGTGAGACATACAATGAGAAATTCCACTTAAAATAACTGCAGACGATACAAAATCCATGAGTCTACCTGTCAAGACAAACCCAGGAACCAAATGGACACAATCACGAAACACTTCGCACACAAAGACAGAGCCAAATAACTGGAGAAATAATGATTCCTCATGGATAAGGATAAACCAAGAAATAAAAATGACAATATTAATGAAATCAATTGACTTATTCAGGGCCATTCCCATCAAACGACCAAAGAATTACTTTATAGAGCTAGAGAAAATAGTAACAAAATTCATCTGAAAGAACAAAAAGTCAAGGATATCAAGGGAAATCAAGGAGGGAAAATGTGAAGGAAGGTGGCCTAGCCGGACCAGATCTCAAACCATATTACAAAGTGGTCATCATCAACACAATCTGGTACTGCCTAAGAGACAGAGGGGTGGATCAGTGGAGTGGATTAGGTATACAATGCACAGTAGTAAATGACTACTGTAACTTAGTGTCTGAGAAAACCAAAGATCCAAGCTCTGGGGACAAGAACTCAACATTTGACAAAAATTGCTGGGAAAAGTAGAAAGCAGTTTGACAGAAGCTAGACACAGACCAATACCTCACACTATATACCAAGATAAGGTCAAAATACCTACATGACTGAGACATAAAAAGTGATACTATAAACAAATTAGGGGAGCATGGAATAGGTTACCTGTAAGATCTATGGATAAGGGAAGAATTTATGACCAAACAAGAGATAGAGAGGTTCATAGGAGGTAAAATGGATCATTTTAATGACATGAAATGAAAAAGTTTTTACACAAACAAAACCAATACAGCCAAAATTAGAAGAAAAGTAGGAAACTGGGGGAAAATTTTCACAGCAAGTTCCTCTGATAAGTCTCATTTCTTGAATATGTAGAGAACTGAGTCAAATTTACAAAAATAAGAGCCATTTCCTAGTTGAGAAATGGTCAAAGAATATGAACAGACAATCTTCAGAAGAAGAACTCAAAGCTACCTATAAATCATACAAAAAAAGTTCTAAATCACTAATAATTAAACAAATGCAAATTTTAACAACTTTGAGGTACCATATCATACCTATCAGATTGGCCAAGACGACAGAAAAGGAAAATGACAAATGCTAAAGAGTATGTGGAAAAATCGGGACACTGATGCACTGTTGGTAGAATTGTGAGCTGGTCCAACCACTCTGGAGAGCAATTTGGAACTGTTCCCAAAGATATCAAAGAAAACGGAAAAGGATCTATATATACAAAAATATTTATAGCAGCTTTTTTGTGGTGGCAAATAATTGGAAACTGAAGACATGCCCATACATTGAGGAATGGCTGAATAAGTTGTGGTATATGATTGGGATGGAATACTACTGTGCTATAAGAAATGATGAGCAGGATGCTTTCAGAAAAACCTGGAAAGACTTACATGAACTGATGCAAAATGAAGAACTAGAACATTTTGCACAGTAATAGCAACACTGTATTATGATCGACTGTGAAAGACTTTGCTATTCTCAGCAATACAATGATCCAAGACAATTCCAAAGAACCCATGATAAAAAATGCTCTCCATCCCCAGAGGAATATCTGATGGACTCAGAGTGCAGATGGAGGCATTTGTTCCCACTTTATTTTTCTTGTTTGTCTTTGTTTTTACAACATGGCTAATGTGGAAATACATATAATGAGCATTATATTTCTTGCCTTCTCAATAGATGGGGAAAAGTGAGAGGGAGGAAGAGAATTTGGAACTGAAAATAAAAATGAAAAAGTAACCTACCCCCTCACTTTTCTAGTCTCTGTACAGTGTCCATCTCCTTCCTCCCCACTCCCCCCCACACAAGCACTCTTCAGCCCCACGCCTCTGGCCTCTTGGCTGTTCCACCAGCCAGACCCTCCATCTCTCAGTTCCAGGCTGGGCATTCTCTCCGGCCATCCCCCAGGCCTGGAATGCTCTCCCTCCTCAGCTCTGCCCACTGACCTCTCCAACTTCCTTTAAGTCCCAACAACAATCTCACCTTCTCCAGGAAGCCTCTCCTGATCCCCTTTAATGACAATGCCTTCCCCCATTAACTATCTCCTGGCTATCTTGACTATAGTTAATTTGTACATAATTCTTTGCTTGTTGTCTTCCCCATTAGATGGTAAGCTCTTTGAGGGAGAGACTGTCTTTGCCTTTCTTTGTATCCCCAGCAGTTGGCACAGTGCTTAGCGCATAGTGGGTGCTTAATAAATGCTTGCTGACTGACTGACGGGGAACATGTGCTTGATGCACCAAGCTCTTTCTCATTTGTTATCCACACAGCATCCCAGGCAGGGGTTGTTCTCCCTATTTGACAAATGAGGAAACTGAGGCCCAGAAAGGTGAAGGACATAAGCAGGACTGGAACCCAGGTCCCCAGATTCCCAGGTGGGCTAAACAAGAGAAGTACAGGAAGGAAAGGGCAAAGTAGAACCCAGTTTCACTGCTGGCTTGTTCTGCAGGTGGGCCTTTGCCCAAACACTCTCCCCCAGGGCCTACGACATGGGGGCTGGGGGAGGGGTAACTGTTTCTCACCGAACAACGTCCACAGCTCCTGCCCTGACCTTGGGGTCGCTGCCCATGATGGAGACGCTGGCTGCAAACGAGCCGTCAATGCTGAACACGACACATTCCATGCCCCGGGGGAGCACGGTTAAGTAGCTCATGGCCGTGGTCTGGTCACCCCTGCAAAAGCACAAGGGGGCCTGGCCTGAAGTGGCTCCAGGACCCTCTGCCCTTCCCCAGAGGGCTGGTTTGGGACATAGCTTAGAGGCCCCTCCTTTCCATTTTGGCTGCTGACAGCTGGTCCCTGTCAAAGTCACCTCACCCAGGACCTCCTGGGAAAGTGGGTGCGAGGTCAGCTTCTTCTAAACTCTCTGCAGCTTGCGGGGGGGGGGTTGGAATGAGTGCACTGAGTGGAGAATGAGATGGAACAGGACAGCCGGGCCTGGGGAAGCAGGGGAAGGAAGCCCTGTAGGAAGAGAACCACCTTACCTGACCACCATCTTAATGGGATAGACCCCGACCCCAAGCCGCTTAGGTCTGGGCACACTGTAAGTGATGCGTCCACTACTGTTGGTAATCTCTGTGTCCAAGAACAGCCAGCGCCCTGACGATGGCTCTGCCATGACGAAAATGTCCACCTGTGGGGCAGATGAGCTGCAAAGGTCCTGCCAGCTAAGCTTCCCCAAGGGGACCTGGGGACTCAAGCTCTGTCCCCACGGGCCCCAGGACTGCCCTATCATAGGAAGCCTCTGGGGGGTGCTGAGTCCCCCAAAGGGGCCAGGACCCAAGCTTTGTCCCCATGGGTCCCAGGTCTTGGTCAGGTTCCCTGTGGTTTGTATAAGGCACTGGCCTGTGTAACCCCCATGGAAGGGAGAAGAGCCCGGGGGAGTCAGCTGGCCTGACCAGGCCTCCCTGGGCCTAGGCCTGAGAAGCCTGGAGAGGCAGTAGCTCCTGACACAGGCAGAGACCAGGCACCCTGAAGCCTTTGGCACTGAAGATACTGACAGCAAATGCCTGTGGGCCTGGCCCTGGTCTGCAGCTCTGCTGACAGGGTCTGGCAGCCCACTGCCTGTGGGGCATGGTCACCATCTCTGGCCAGACCCTCAGTAGGGAAGGTCCTGACTTGGAGGAGTAAGCCCAGACAGGGATACAAATGTGGGTCTGGGAATTATTCCCAGCCCTGTACAAATATAGGGTGCAGACAGGAACTCCCAATAAGGATTCCATCTCTGCTCTATGCCAAGATGGGTCCAAGACAGACAGTGGGAAGAAAGAGAAGTGCCTACATAGAAGCATCCAGGGTCTCCTTCTACCCTCATCCAAGCTATCTGGGCAGCACAAACTGGGTCCAGTGGGGCAGACAGGGCCAGGGCCCAGAACTCCATACCTTTTCTCCTGTGAGGGCCACCATGTCAAGAGGCCCATACATGAACCGTCCCACCAAGACCTGTGGGCCATCTTCTGCAGCAATCACGTCATTGGCACGATGATTGGCCGTTACATTCTGGAAGGACAGGGATATTGGCTCAGCCTATCCAAGTACAATGTGGCCAGCTTTACGTCCAAGGAATGTTACTAAGGATGGTATAAAGCCAACATGTCTATCCTGAAGTTTCCATTGGAGGACACCTCTTGGGATCTGGAGCTTCTAGGCTGGCCCAACTTGCTCCCCGATGTCTTCTTCCCCCCAGGCATCTAACCCTCACCTCCCTCCCCCCATACTTTCTGGTTCTGGAATAGTAGATTTCATATCATTTCTACTGAAAAGTGGGTGTCATTCAACTGCCCTATGACTCTACCCTCCATCACTCCATCTCCCCAAACCAACCCCCCATATCTCCCCATAAGCATTATTGTCTCCCCCCAATTAGATTGTAAGCTCCTTGAAGGCAGGGAATACTTTTGCTTTTGCCTGTTTAGTGACAGCACTTAACTCAGGGCTTGGCACACAGTAGGTGCTTAATAAATGTTGTTTCATTTGTTCACCTATTCTATCAGGTGCTCTAAGGTGTGTTTCCACAGGCTAACAAAAGAAACCCTTGCAGCCTTCACAGGGATCATGCAGCCTTGGCCCAAAAGCCCACACAGCCAGGTAAGGTGCCAATGCCCATGAGTCCCCTTTCCTTCAGCCAGCATTCTACCCACAAGCTCTCTTCTGCCACACATCTTGGAGGGAACAGGTATTGGTGACCCCAGCTTAGGGGAGGTGCAGTGTGCAAATTTAGGGATAGGGTTAAGGGGGTAGAACCTGACAGTCCTGTTGGCCCACTTATGGAGGGAGATGGGAGCAGGGGGCTTTACAAGCCATATTGTAGGTCTCAGGAGCACCCGCTCCCCTGACTCCACAGCCCCCAAGTAAGGTCTCAGGTCTGAGGAATAGCATGAGATATGAGGTTCCTGCATGTCAGACATGTAGTAGAAACCCCAAGGAGGGGGAATCGGGCTACCCATCCCCTTCAAAGTGCTGGTCAGCCCTCGGGAAGTGTCTGGATTTCTGGGAAGAGGAGCACCTAGGGGCATCATTGACCAGGTATACCTGAGGCTGCAGAGGTGGCTGGCCTGGAGAATGTGTGCATCACTGCTCAGGGGAGCGCACCAACAAGGTAGAGCCCACTCCCCAGGGCTGAGACAGTGCCTGCCTGCTAAGGCAGCTGAGGCCCCCACCGAGCACCTTCTTTCCTTCTGTTCCTCCAGCCCCCTGCCCCTCTCCCCCTCTGACCGAGGAAGTCCTCCCTACCCACAAGGCCAAAGCTCCCACTGCTCTCTGCCTTCTCTGAAGTCCTTCAGCACTTAGCCCAGGGCCTAGCATGTAGCAGGCTCCTCATCAATGTTAGCTGGCTGGCTTCAGCACCTGAGCACGGAGTCTAACCCTTTATTATCTGCCATCACACCGTTCTCTAATAATGCACATCTCTTCCCAGCCCACTCTGCGAGGTCCTTCAGGACAGTGCCCACATCTGCTGCTCCTTCCCCTGTCCCTGAGTGGGGGTGGAAGGACACAAGAGACATTCAGAAGGACCCATGCGTCTCTGGGAGGAGCCAGGGTCCCAAGGGTGAGGGCTCACTCCCACTCTCCAGCCTAGCCAGACCCTGAGGGAAACACCAGCCTATTCCTGAAGTGCCTACTTTCCTGCGGCCTGGGGCATTTCCATCAGGAGGCCTGGCCAGGTCCTCAGGGCAGGTAGGGCCGGGTGCAGCCGCAGACCCCTCTCCCTCCCGGGGCGCCCATCCTCACCTACCCTCAGCTTGACCTGGGTCCGCTTGCGCAGCCATTTTTCTCTGGGGTTGGATGGGCTCAGTGTGGAGGGGTCACATCCATCACTCTCCTTGACAGTCCGGCTGTCATAGCGCATCACCTACAGTGACACAGCAGACACCCGTGCACATGCGCACAAGCATACACACACACACACACACACACACACACACACACACACACACACACATTGGTGCCTCCTGTTCTCCCTCCCCCCCCCCCCGCCGAGATAGAGAGAGGAGGCACCGAATAGTGAGAAAGCTTTGCCAGTAGGGATCAGGGGGAGTTACCTTAGAGCCAAGAAAGGAAACATGGACCCATGGGAGGCATCTCGGGGGCCACACAGAAAAAATGAAGATGGTGGGAGGCAGGGGGAAGGGAATGACAAGACTGTCTTAGGAGCAAAGAGGAAATGCTGGCAGGGCGGTTACCCTGGGGCCACACAGAGAAACACACTGAGACCACAGGGTCAGAGACTGAACTAGTCAATCCAGCTACAAGCACTTAGTAAGCACCTACTGTTTGCTGGGAGTAAAGGAAAGACAAGGCAACAATCCCTCCAGGCATTCTGAAGGGGAGGGGGAGACCACAAGGACAGTTACATAGACCTACAAAGTAAAGAAAAGAAATACAAAGTAGGCAGAAATGTGTGGTGGGGTGGGAGGGGTAACTGAGAGCTGGGAGGCCTCTGGTACAGCCTCCTCATTTTACCGAGAAGGAAACTGAGGAAGCCTAGGAAGGCAGGTGACTTGCCTAAGGTCTGACAGGTAGTAAGAAGCAGATTCAGGATTTGAATCCAGGGCTCATTGTACCATGTTTCCCTCACAAGCCCTCTGAGACCAGGGTTTTCCTAAAGCACATGTCTGACTACGTCATCTCCCAGTCTGCCACCTGCAGTGGTTCCCTAATGCACCAACCTCTGTTTGGCTTTCAAAGTCCGTATAACCCAACCCCCTCCCCCACCTCACCCTCAGAGGCCCAGTGACACTGGCCCCCCCTCCCCCACCTCACCCTCAGAGGCCCAGTGACACTGGCCCCCCCACCCTCAGTGACTCAGTGACACTGGCCCCCCTCCCCCACCTCACCCTCAGAGGCCCAGTGACACTGGCCCCCCTCCCCCACTTCACCCTCAATGACTCAGTGACACTGGCCCCCCTCCCCCACCCCACCTTCAGTGACCCAGTGACACTGGCCTCCTCTCCCCCACCCCACTCTCAATGACCCAGGGCCTCCACTTCTGGACTCCACAAATCTTCTCGGACTGTCCCCCATGCCTAGAACTCTCATCTGTCTTCTGACTTCCTTGAAGTCACAGCTAAAATCCCAATCTTCTCCAAGACTTTCCCAGCCCTGCCCCACCTCCAATGCTCATAGCACCCCCATCAGCTGTCATTTACCATCTTGTTTGTACATTTACCTGTTTTTTCCCACTCCCCCTTAGACTGTGAGGGAGCACCTCCCCTTTCTTTCTGTCCTCAGAGCTTGGCACAGTGCCTGGCACATGTTAGGGACTTAATAAATACCTGTTGACCAACTGACCACCAACCAACCTGCCACCTGGGGCTTCCTCTCAGGATCTGGCCCTGCAGATTGCCAGGCCTCCCCATGGCCTGACCAGAGGCAGTGACCAGGCCAGGATGGAAGCCCCAAGCCCTGTGTTCCAAGGCACCAGAAGCTCATGCAGTGACCGAAGAGGGGTAGGCTCCTGTGGGTCCTGGAATAAGGATCTCAGCAATAATGAAGGTGGGCATTTCTATGTGCTTTAAGCCTTGCCAAGCACCATATCTATGTTAATTCATTTGATCCTCATAACAGCCCTGGGAAGTTGGGGCTATTACCAGCTCCATTGGACAGACGAACAAACTGAGGCCAGAGAGAGAAGTGATCTGCCCAGGCTCAGACAGTGTCTCCGGCAGAATTTGAACTCAGATCTTCCTGAGAGATCCTCTCTCTCAGTACCACTCAGCTGAACCTCATGCTGAGAGGTCCCCAGAATGTCTGCTGTTCCCTTTGGACATAGACAAAGCTGGCCAGATGTAGAGTCAGGGGAAGTGTGGGAGGAAGGGCACCAGGAAGGTCCCATCTCTCCCTTTTCCCCCACCCTGCAAAGGCAAGAGAAAGCACTGTCTCTAGAAGGCCCCAGTGAGCCCCATTGTTCTGTCTGTATCCTGAAGGCTGAGCACATGGACTAGTGCTTGGGGCCCCTCATGAACATTCGGCGAACAGAAGTAAAGAATCTCACGAGCAAATCCCAGTATCTCTTGGAGTCTCAGTTTCCACATCTGTAAAGCAGAGGCTGACCAGATCCCTCTCAGATTAGGGCCCAGGCTCTGGTGATCTTTGAGAATGACCCAGTGTCAGATTTCCTGTGAGTGGTTCTCTCTGTTCTCATCCTCAAGGGGAAGGAGCCCCAAGGGAAAGGGGGAGAAGGGTCTGGACAATTGGGAAGTGTCTTCGAGTCTTCCTGTGCTAAAGGGAGCTAGAAAGTGACCACAAACATGAAGGCTTCTGTGACAGCCTAAGAGATGATCAACATGGGAGGTCCCCAGTCATTGTCTCCAGCCTTTTCCTCAACGAGAAAAGTGTCCCGGGTCTGAGGTATCTGAGCTGGAAGATGGGCACGGAGGCCTCTGGGCCTCAGCAGGCAGAAGGCCAGGATCTCCCACGTGGAGAGGCGGGTCTTACATAGGGTCTCTCACTTAGTGAGGGGAGGGGAGTATCTCACACAGCCCCAGGCAGGAGGCAGCATCTCTCACAAAGTGTACAATGCTCTGTGCTGCTCCACAATCAGCGGAGTGGAGGCAAACCCTCGGGTGAGACTTTGGTCATTTTTACATAAAAAGGAGAAAATCCAACGTGATTCTTTCCCAGAATGAGGAGTCCTTGGGGCTTGGGGCTGGTTTTCCTCCTGAGCTCATTCCCTTTAATGTCAGGCACTCCTAAGGGAGCTCGCCAAGCAGCAAGTGGAGAGACTAACGAGCCGAATCTGAGGCCAGGCTGGGAGATCCGCTTTCCACGCAGGCCCTTTGGAAGGACACTCTGATTCTGCCCAATTGTCTGGGCAGGGCAGACACCGTCCCCAAAGTCCATCCTCTGAGCACAGACAGAAGGGCCCAGGTCACGGCAGAAGCCCAAATATTTCTTTTCACAGCTGCTGGAGACCAGACCTTCCTGCTCTCCAGACTTCCCATCATTGTTGGCGGCTTCTCTGAGGTCACTCCAACCCTGCAATCCTGAGGATACTGGCCCCCTCCATCTCCTTCCTCCTTATCTGGGCTCTAGTCTGAGTTTTGTCACCCCAACCCTGGTACCACACAACGAACCAAGACTTGTCTTCATTGAATATTGCTTGGTAAGGTAATGGAATTCCTCAGTTCAGAAAACCCTCATAACTTCCCAATTCCTGCACCATCCCACCAAAACTCCTCTCTGTTAAGGAGATGCTCACCACTTTCAGAGAAACAGAGAAGTGGAAATAAGCATAGTGCCGTCTTACATATGTGTGTATGAGTGTATATGTGTACATCTGCACATGTTTATAGAATATCCACATGTGTATGCACGTATGTATATATACATATATCTAATACATACATATATGTGCTTACTTGTAGCCTTCGGGGGGGGGGATAAAGTAGAAAGTGCACAGCAGGGAACAAAAGAAAACCAACAGAGAAGCACAGAAAAGCTGGGCAGCTTTGCAAACAGTGTGGAGTATTTATTATATGGGCTTTCTCAAAATTGAAATTTGCTGCTTTATACTGAATCCTCTCTTATGGTCTACTGTGTACATGGCAATGTTTTTTTCTTTTCTTATTTTGTATTCAAGTTTAAAATAAACTTAGAAACTTACAAAAAAAATAAAATTCCTCTCTGGCTTTCAAGGCCTGGAGTCAGGAAGGCCTGAGTTCAAATGCGCCTTCAGACACTTCCTAGCTGTGTGATCCTGGCCAAGTGACTTAACCCTTGTTTACCTCAGTTTACTCACCTGCAAAATGGGGAGAATAAAAGCACCTCCCTCCCAGGAGGAGGCATTGTGAGGATCCAATGTGATAATGTTTGTAAAGTGCCTAGCACAAGTGCCTGGCACAAAATGGTGCTATATAAATGTGAGCTATCATCATCATTACAACTTAAATAGAAGGAAAAAAAACCTGTGGCTTCCCTAGCCTTGAGAGGCAGCAGGGAAAACCCACTGGCCTGGGAGGCAGGAGAGCCTGAGCATGTCCCTCCCTTCCCTGGGCTTCCTCAGTTTCCTCACCTCCTGCTCTAACCCTTCTTTATCTTGGCTAATTCCAGATCAGGGGAATCAGTGGAACAATTCCTTAGGGTACCCAAGGGCCCAGCAGCAGTACCACCTCCTGCCAAAGACCCTAGCCCTCAAACCAGGATGCCTCTGCCCTGAGGCTGAGACTCCCTGCTCAGAGCTGAGGTCCTGGAGGGAGCCCCTAGGGACAGGCCAGCCACTGCAGGTAGAAAGACTTGGATGAGAATTCTTTTCACATGGCAGCCCCCAACACACTGTGAGTCACAGAAAAGGATGCTCAGAAGTCTCTGCCTCGCCCAGTCAGCACACAAGCAGTTCAGACTCAGAGATGAAAGGAGGCCCCCAAGGAACAGAGATGAGCACCTGGGGGGCCGCCCCCCCGTGGCCTGGCACTGGGGTGAAGATGAGGACAGAAAGCCCTCTGCCAGCCCGTGCTGACTCCAGGTCTGTGCTCAGAGGGCCCCAGAGGGCTGGCTGGTGATGGACAGACAGAACAGACAGATGGACATACAGAGTACCCCTCCCAGATGTCAAGCTCAAGGATGCTCCAAAGGGTGGCCAAGGCTGGGCAGCCAGCCCTCCGCAGCCCCTCTCTTATTAACCTAGGGAAGCAGCCAGCAGCCAGTACCTGTCTCAAGATGAAGGCCACCACGTCTGTGGACTCCCAGTAGCTGGCATGAAAGAGGTGGGGAAGGGCCACGGTAGGGAAGGCCGTGAGCACATCGGGACAGTAGAGTTCATAGTCTAGCCGCTTGGTTCCCCACCATTTGGAGGTAACTGCAGAAACAGAGGAGGGCACAGTGTCTACACTGGCATCGGACCATGCTGGGGGCTTTGTCCAAAGCTTCCCTGTCCCCTGTGTGACAGGCTACGCTCCCATCCAACTGAGGCCCGTGTCAAAGCTAGGAACACAACCAGGAGCCAGGACAAGGAAGTTCTCACTGTAGCCTGGGGAGGGGAGCACAGCCTAGGTCCTGGGAGCTCAGGCTCTGGCACGTGCTAGGTAGGCCTGTGGATGGGCCCACAGCAAATGGGTGAAGGTCCTGAGGGCTCACCCCTGAAGACTGTGTGCTAGGATGGAGGGGATTTACGGGTGTGCGTGCAGAGGAAGAGTGCCACAAAGTCTCAGGGCCTAGAAGAACTGAGGCATTGTTCTAGTGAGGACCCCCACCTTCGTATCCCTCACTCCTGAGGGGCATAGTCTAGGCAGCCATAGCTGTCTGCCCCACTGCTCCATCACCTGGGTGCTCATAGCCCAGATCGGAGGAGAGCTTCCCAGGATTGGGCATCAGGTTGTGCCTTTGCAGCCAATCTGCCTGGACTGGCCCAGCCAGCCACAACTGCCCACGCGACAGCTGCTAGTCTGCAGACCTGAGTGTGCTGGGCTTCCTCCATTTCCTCAAAGGTCTGAATTACAGCTCCTCTTTTCTACCTTCAGAGGAACACAGACAGAAGGCTAGAGAGGAGAGGCTCCTCTGGGGCCCAGCACCAGGGCCAGGTCCTGAGCTTCCCTGATTCACTGTGTACCAAACAGAAGGAGGGTCAGGGAGGGGAGGCTCCTCTAGGACCTGCCCTGGGGCCTAGCACCAAGGCTATGGGACAGCTCCTGAGCCCCCCTTACTCTCTGTGTGCCAGACAGGAGGGCCAAAGAGGAGAGGCTCCTCTAGTGGGCCCTAACACAGGGGCTGGGGGACAGTTCCCAAGCCCCTCTTACTCACTGTGAGCCATGCTGGCCAACGGCAGACTCTCACTGGATCCTGAGCTGTCACTGTTGGAGCTGTCCACACTGAACCTCCTTCCTGACCTCTGGTGCCGAGGAGGCAGGAGGGCCAGGGCTGGGGCATCCGGGGAAGATGGGCTGTCAGCCGGGCAGCCTTCCAGGAACAGGGAGCTGTGGGCCTGCAGAGTGTCCTCTAGACAGGAAAGGGAAACCTAGTGAGAGTGTGGCCCTCCTCTCCCACCTAGGCATCCTATCTCCAGAGCAGCTGGCGACCTCATCTTCCCTGCTTCCCCCCACAGAACCATAAACTCAGTTACTTTATCCTGCCTGAGGATCATAGGAGTCAATTCAACTCAGTTCAATTCCATAAGCATCTATTAAGCACCAGGTACTAGAGATGTAGAGCCCCAAATGAGATGATCTTTGCCCTCAGGGAGCTGACATGCTACAGGGGAACAACATGCCTAAATCAATAGAACAAGGCAGCCAGGGCTTCCAGGAAGCCAGAGGAGATTCTAGCCTTTAGCCTTTAGCCTTTAGCCACCTAGAGAGCAGAGCTGGTCCAGCCCATCCAAACCAGGCACGGAGGATGGAGTTAATGGTAGGAAAGACTCCACCAACCGTGAGGGACAAGGAAGCCCACTCCTGACTCGAGGGAGCAGGAACAGGGACAGCTCTTGGGAGGCCTGGGGGCTACCAGTACATTTAAAGGAGTCAGGTAAGGAAGACCTGGCACGTCATCTTTCAAGACAAATTCCAAAAGGGAACAGACAGCCCTCAAAGTGAGGTAATGGGTTCCCTATCCCTGGAAGTATTGAAGTAGAGTCTGGGGGTATTGTGGAATGAACCACTGAGGACAGACTGAACTAGCTGCTCTCAGAGATTCTGTGAATCTCTATGTGGTGTCAAAGAAAGAACGTGAGTGGAGAAGGTTTAGACACATGTGGGTCTAGCCTTCAGACCCTCTGGTGTGATAATAACATGTTCTCCCAATTCTCTCTTGGGGTATCTACCCCAGAGGTGCTGTGTGTCCTTCTGGCCAAGCTGGCCACTGCCCAGGAGTAGGGACACCAGCCCCCACTGAGAGAATGGAGATGGTGCTGGGTGGCTATGGTCAGTCCATTCTGCTTTCCTGAGAGTACGTCAGCTGAAGGTGTGTCTGTGCCAAAGCCCCGGGATGGTAGGCATCTTGATCACCTAGCCTGGGCCTCCTCCCCATGCCAGCTCGTGGCCCCACATTAATAAAATGCCCAGGACATTGGGGGAAAAGACTGGTACCTAGGAGTAGAGACTGCCCATCACCCAGCGGGAACCTCTGGTAGCGTGGCACACTGACTGGGGGCAGCAAGTGAAAATTCTTCTCCAGCAGAGGCTCCAGCCTTGAGGCCGAAGGGTCAGCTGCATGGAAGAAGCTATAGACTTGGCTGCAGGCAGGCCGGACCTGAAAGCCTATAGGGAGTAACAGATGACACATGACTCCCTCCAGAAGGGTAGAGGGTGCCCTCAGCCATGCATGCCCTTCCTCCCTCTGCTCGGGAAGACCTAGCAGGGCCCTTCAAGGGGGAGAGGGGGGAAGGAATGAAGGGAAGAAGGAAGGGAGGGAGAGAGGGAGGGAGGAAGGAAGGAAGGAAGGAAGGAAGGAAGGAAGGAAGGAAGGAAGGAAGGAAGGAAAGAAGGGAGGGAGGGAGGGAGAGAGGGGGAAGGGAGGCCACCCTGGGCTGAAGGGTCTTGAACCCCACGTCAGATGAGAGCATGTCAAAAGAACATGATGTGGAGAAGAGAGGGCTCTGGGGAGTACGATGGCCACCTTCAAGTTCCTGCATGGCTCTAGGACACAAGGGGGCTTAGCTTTGTTCCACTTGGCCCCAGAGGGTAGGACCGAGAGGAATTGGGGTAGCTGTAGGAAAGCCTAGTTAGGAAAAGCTTCCCAAAGACGAGAGTTGACCCTAAGTAGAATGGGTGACTCTAGAAGGGAGTGAGCTCCACATCCCTAAAAAGGGATCAAGGTAGGGATTCTTGTGCAGGCTCCCCTGAGGGACACCTCACCTGCCGTGGTGCCATGGAAGGCCTGGCTATCACCCTCTGCTGAGCAGTCACAGGCCCCACTCACCATCCAGCCCGGGCAAGACCGTTCTCCTCATGGCCAGCACCAAGCCCAACGGGGAGCCAAAGAGGAAAAAATCCGAGACGTCAAAGTCAAATCGGCTCAGGTTGGCTTCTGAGAGCTGGGGGGCCCCAGCTGGTGTGGGCTCGGCACTGTCCTTCAGAACACTGGAGTGGATGCTGAGCCAAAGGAAAGAAGCTAAGGGTCAGGGAGAAGCTTATGCAAGAAGGTCCCCATCCCAGGATTCGGGGCAGCTGCCTTGGCCCCACTGGGTCTGCCGCTAAGCAGCATCAGGCAGAACTGGCCAATCCCAGCATTGCCCAGGAAGTCGCAGAGTGAAGTGGGCCAGCTGCACACCCGGCCGCTGCCTGCTCAGAGGCACAACTGCTGCCACAGGGCTTGGAACTTCCCCACAGAGAAGGCTGTCCCAGAGTGGCCGGGGCAGTACTCTCCCTCACCAGAGGGCTTTGGGCCTCAGTTGGATGACCACTGGCCTGGTGTGCTGCAGAGGGGATTCCTGGTCCAGTAGGAGTTCAGGTCAGGCCTGAACCAGAGGCCTCTGAGCCCTCCTAGTCCTGAGACCCTGTGAGTCACACCTCTACCCCAGGCCTGTGTGACCACTAGGGCTCAGCTGGCAGGAGCTGGCAGGAGCAGAGACCTCACCTGGACAAGAAGGTGTGGTGCTGACTGATGGCATCACAGTCGTACGTAGATGAGTCACTCTGTTTCCGAGGCAGAGACATCTTGGGCTCCTCATCCTCCAAGGTCCCCGAGATATCAATGTTGCTTTTACTGAGGCGTGTGGTGTCACTGAGGCTACAGTCTTCCTCAGACAAGATTGGGTTGTCCTTTGAACAGAGCAAGAGACAATAAAGCTGCCCCCAGAGGATGGAGTGGCCCTGAGAATGCCCCTAGTGCCTGCAACCTTTTCTCCCTTCTCTTCTCCTCCTGTGGGGCCTGTCAGGGCAGCCACCCCGAAATGTCCACACTGAGGGAGCTCAGCCTCCCTGAACTGTTTGCTTTTAAAGAGAAGAACCTCGAAGGGAGGATCACTAATGGTGGGATTTGGAGCCCTGAGGAGGGAATGAGTTGGAGGCAGAGAGGCTCCTTTCGGCATCCCTTCCTTCCCAGAGGGTGGGACAGCCCCTCCCCGAACCAGGGCTTCCACTCTGAGACAATGGCTCTGGATGGGAGGCACCATGGTCATCCTGGGTAGTGTCCTAGAGAGGCTGGTGTCCCTAGAACTTCTGCATTGAAAGTGTCTCTGACATCATTCTACTCTAGCATTTCTCAGACTTTTTGATCTCAGGACCATGTGGGTTCCATCTACCACTATTTACCATATTAAAAATTAAAACATCTTAATATTATTATGAAAATAGTTTTGACCTCACAGGCCCCCTGAAAGGGTCTTAGGGACCCTAGGGGTCCCTGGATCCCACTTGGAGAACCACTGTTCTAGACCCATCTCTCTCCAGTGCAGAAGCCCCTTCCATGACAACCCTAACAAGTGGGCATCCAGGTTTTGGCTAACCACCTTCGGTGATGCTAAGGGTCAGACTGTTCCACTCAGGAACAGCTCAGATATGACTTCTAAGAGTCCAAATGTGCTTCTCTGTAATGCCCACCCATTAATTAGTACTAGTTCTGTTCTCTGGTGGTATCCAGAAAATCTATTACCACCTTTACCTCACAGTGCTAGAGATATTTAAAGGGCACTGCCATGTTGTAGGAGTGTTTTATAGTCCACCCAGCCAGAAGAAAGAAAGGGAGATGTGTTCTGGAAACACCCTGGAAGCATGATATGGTGGTGGGAAGGAGATGGGGGTGCAGGAGACTTCAGCCATCTGGACATCTCTTACTGCTGAGAGCAGAACTGCTAAGACATTCTGGGCTTCCCTTAATGTTCATTTCCTTCTTGAAAAGGAGGAGGCAAAGAGGGGATACATGATTCTGATCTCATTTAGATTGACAAGGAGGAACAAACAGGCTGATGGGGCATACGTGGTGAGAATGAATTGGAGGCAAGCAGCCTCTCCATCGTAGGTGAGGGAGGCTAGACCCAGTCTAAGCTGTGCCCAGGATCTGAGGAGAATGGGTTTCCAGGAGTTCCCAGAATGGGCAGGGAGGATCTCACAGTCTAAAATGCTGAAGAGAAAGTCACTCCAGAGACCAAGAGAAGATCCCAGGAACAAAACTCTGAAGACAAAAAGTACAGAGAGAAGCTTCCCGAAGAAGCCTGTGTAGCTTGTGGTCACCAAGCAGCCAACTTATATTACAGACAATAGAAAGAAAGAGAGGACACACTCAGAAGATGGGATAAGAGAGGCAGGTATGCCAGGCTCCCAAGGAACTGAGACCAAGGAATTTCTAGAAAGCTATGTTGGGGGAGGCTGAGAAAGGAGGGTTTTGTTGTGAAAGGTGGCATTGAGCAGTGGGTAAAGTACCAGCTTCAGAGCCAGGAAACCCGGGGTCATCTAGCCTTGGAGGCACACTGGCTGTGGGGCACCAGACAAGCCCATGAGGCCCTCAGTGCTATCTTTGGGCAGCGCTCCAAGACTCTGAGATCCAGAGCAGGTGCTGATCTGAGCTGGTCGGGGGGTTTCTCTGGGCCATCACACATCACAGACTCAGACAGAGAGACAGAGAGAGACAGAGAGAGAGAGAGGGAGGGAGAGGGAGAGAGAGAGAAAGAGAGAGAGACAGAGAGAGACAGAGAGACAGAGACTGAGACGGAGAGAAGGGATAAGCAGCAGGCTAAGGTAGGGCTAGAGCCTCTGCTCAGGTGGACAGGACAATGATAAGTGATTATAGAAAGACTATCAGATTCCACAGCTCTTTTTCTTCTGCTTTCTCTACCAAGGAGCAGGAGCTTTGGCCAGAAAAGACAGAGAAAATATCACCGATGGGGAAATAAAAAATTAATTGCTTGGGTGTTGTCCTTGGTGCTTGAAGAGGACCCAAATGACATCACTGTGTCAGGGCCAAGGTACAGTGTGTTTGACTGGTTGATCAGGCCAGTCAGAGCCTGGGAAGCTTCTCCACAGGTAGGGCACAAATAGTCATTTGGACATTTGGAGTAGAGATGGCTCTACTGTTCAACAGGGTCAGAATCCACAAAACACCCATAGGCCAGAAGGGGGGCGCAAACAGAAGATGATAACATGTAATGGGGATGATGGAAAATTTCACACTTGGGGTCAAGAAATCATCTTCCCACACATAAGATGAGGGGGTTTTCAGTGGTCCTTGGTGGGGGGGGGGGGGGAGATCAAGAGCATTGGCCAACTGCTGTAAGCTCATCAGAAGATAACAGGGAGGCCCACCAGCTGAGAGGGTGAGATTGCAGGCTGTGTGAAGACGGAAGAAAGGAAACAAGCATCGATTTAGCTCCTACTGTGCACCAGGCACTGTGCAAAGGGCTTTACAAATAAAGTCCCATGGATCCTGAGAACAACAACCCTGGGAGGGATGTGCTGTTATTACCCGCATGTGATAGTTGAGGAAACAAGGCAGACAGAGATTAAGCATGATCACCCAGCTAACGAAGATCTGAAACTGGATTTGAACTCAGGTCTTCCTGCCTCCAGGCCCAGAGCTCTGTGATCTCTGATGCCCCCTAGCGATGTGTCATCCTTGACTCCTATCTCTGGTCTAAGCACTGTGGCCTCTCCACTAGAACGTCCAGGCCCAGGGAGGTAATGGTCCCGCGAGGCTCTGCGCTGATCAGGACCCATCCAGAGGACTGTGTTCACTGCTAGGTGTCCCATCATGGAGAAGGTGCTGAGAAGCTGGAGAGCACCAAAGGACACAGCCAGAATGGCTTTGCAATGGAGCCATAAGAGAATGGGCAGAAAGAAGGGGGGTCTTTAGCCTGGAGGAGAAGACTTAAGGAAAGCAGTAGGGTGCCCCCAAATGTTTGGAGGGCTGTCCTGTGGAGGAGGGGGCAGCCTGGCTCCTCTTGGCCCCAGGAGCAGCCACAGGGGAAGTGGCAGTGAAGCCCACTAAGGCTGGAGGTCAAGACTCACTGGCCCTAAGAGAGCACATGGAATTAGGGTTCAGGCCTCACTTGGGCCCCTGGGGCTGTGTCCCCTCCACACTGGGGCTTTTCTCAACTGAAAGCTCCCAAGTTTTCCAACAGGTCTGCAGATGACTTTGTTTCTGGACTTCTTCCTCCCCTCAACCCACTCAGGTCTGTCAATGTTCTTGTTGAAGGGTGGGGCCCAGGGCAGGAAGGAGGACGCTGGGTCAAGCTGCCTCTGGCACACTCTAGACTGTCCGTCTCTAGTTCCCGACTCAGGACTTAAATTAATTCAGCCCAAGCTTGTACCACGAAGCCAGGAGCCTGGGTCACCAGTCTCAGTGACTCCCGAGGCGCACGGCCGCTCCTGCTCGAGCCCACCCATCCTATTTCCTGGTGGCCCTCCCCAAAGGCCCTCCCTCATACCTGCCCCATCCCTGCGGCCCCTGCCCAGCTCGGACCTACCTGGGTGCTGCTGACACTGCCTTTTCTGCTATTGCTGCTCAGACTGTCGCCTGCAGGGCTGGCACTGTAACAGATGGCATCAAAGCCCAGGATGCCCCCCACACAGTCACCGATGAGACACACCTGGAAGAAAAGCAGAATCAGAGGTGCATCAGGGGCCCGACTCTGGCCTGGTGTCCCCCCTGGGGAGTGGCACACACCAGGAGGTAGGAAGCAAGACCCAGTTACCCACGTCACCCCAGGCCTCCACAGATTCAAACACAGCTTCCTGGACATCCAGGCCGAGGGCTGAAGGTGGCCTGAAACCATTCAGTCAGAGGCTTTTTCGAGCAGGGATCTTTGACAGTTTATTCTGATATGCGTCTTGTGGCTCAGACAGGGTTATGCTTTTCTCCGTGGCTCACCCCCAGGGGGCACACATACAGCTATAAAGTGCAGCCAGGGCAGGGGATGCTTGGGAGGCTGCACGAGCTTGAAATTCCATAGACATGAGACTGCATTTGTCAACTCCCACCAGGCCTTTGCACTAGGCCATCCCTCCTGCCTAGAATTCCCTCCCTCCTCCTCTCCACTCCCGGCTTCCCTGGCTTCCTCCAAGGCTCAGCTAAATCCCACTTCTCAAGGAGCCCTCCCTGGTCCCCATCCTCCCGACCCCCACCGCCCCGTGCCTGCCCTCTGAGAGGACACAATCTAGCCATATCTCACAAGTACCTTGTTACATTGTCTCCACAAAGGCAGGGACTGTGCTTTTGCTTCTGTACCCAGTGCCTGGCTTAATGCTTGTTCGACTTGACTGACTGACTGAGTGGCTGACAGAGGGAGTGACTGCCCCGCTGCCCCACTGACTCCTTCCCCCTAGGCATCCCAGAGGGCGGGCCTTGGGGAGCCCCTCCCAGACCCACCCTTTAAGGAGGGGCCTGAGGCGACTTGCTCTTCATTCTCCAACTGCTTGGACTCTTCTGGACTTCATCATGTCCCCCCCGCTCCTTTTAATGTGAGGGCCCCCATTAGCCTGGGAACTCCTTGAGGGCAGGGAGCCTTTGGCCTTCCTCTGTATCCTCAGCACTTAGCACAGTGCCTGGCATATAAATGGTGCTTGATAAGTGCTCCATGATGGGCTGGTGGAGGGGGAGAAACCCCAGATCCCCCAGACAAGGCTACCTGAGCTTTTCTTACCATGTCACCATCTGTAAGTGTCCCCAAAGCCTTTCCGAAGCTGCCAATCTGTGCCCCCCCCAGCAAGGGCCTCCCTCAGCTTCAGGCCTTTCCCCTCTTCTACCTCCCCTCCCCCCATCCCTTCCCAGCCCACTGGGTGATGCAAACAGAGGGGGCTTGAGGGAGATACACTTGCTGTCCCCAAGGGTACATACACAGGCCTGTCCTGAAAGCCAGCCCTGAAGGCCACCTAGCTGCACCCCACACAGCACCCCTGACTTCCAGGCTGGAGGCTCAGGCTCCTTCCCCTCTCATGTTCCCTCTGGACCACAGATACTCCACAAGCCCAGTGCTCAAAACTCCCATGCTGTCCCTACACACGCACTCACATACAGTGCATGTACACACATACACACGCATGCATAGATATATACACACATACAAACATATGCATGCACACACACTCACATACAGACATACATGCACACACATACAGAGGCACACACACATTCAAACACATGCATGCAGACATGTACACATGCACTCAAATATAGGCATATGTGTATGCACACACTCACATACAGACATACACACATACATACATGCACACACATACACATGCATACACACCCTCACATGCATATACACGCATATACACAAAAACTTACTCATGCACTTCATACTCATATTGCCACATATACATACATAGCCACCCACCACACCCTCACACACGCCAGTGCCCATGCTCACGTATGTTACCCCCAGACCCAGGGGGCTTGTCAGGCTGTGCACCACAGACCCTACAGTTTCCAGGGAGTGAGAACTAGGAGTGGCCAAAGGGCGGGTACGTGGCGGGCTGGAGAAGGCCACATTTTACCGGGGAGGTCCAGGATATTCTATGCCTGAGAAGAGGCACCTTCAAAGAGGTGAACTAGTACCAAAGGAGGCCAGCTGGCCATGGAGGGTGAGCGAGCCCTCGAGTGCACCAGCACCCCCAGGATGTGAGGAGAGCCCAGCGGCGGGCCTCAGCACATCGGGAGGTTCTTCTCTGGAGGGCATGGAGGTCAGCCAGGGCGATGAGGCCCGCACCCTTGTGGAGAGGGTCCATCCATGGAGGTGCCCTCAGATCCACTGAAGAAGCCTTCACCTCCCCATACCATGGCTGCCCAAAGGAGCAGCCTTGGAAAGGAGTCAAAGGCATCTCCGAGTACCTCAGCACCCCCATTACTGCTGGGACGCAAGGGGGATTTTGCAGGTGGCCACGGCCACCGGGGCCGGGCACTGACTCTTTTCTGAGGCATCGGATCCAGCTTTGCTCCCAGTGGCCCATCTCAGCTCCTGGCTGTGACCCTGCTCACGCTCTCACCAACACCAGCTCCTTTGTGCCTAACCCTGCTCCCACTGAGCCCCCACCTGGTCCCTGAGAGCTCTCTTTCTCCCAGTACTAGTGAGGGTCCGGACTATTCCATCAGCTCCTCAGACAGTGGCCACCTTCCACAGCTCTCACTCCCAGCACCCCTAGCTCCCATGCACCCCTAGTTCAGGGCTCCCTCCCTCCCTGGGAACACTGACTCAGCTCTCAGACCCTCCCAGCCTCTAGCACACCCATTCTACATCACTCACCCAGTAATTGCAGCCGCTCTGTCACAAATACGCCAGGACTGGCTCCCCCTACCCCACTGGACCAAGCTGGATTTCTGGCTCTTTTGGGGACTTGGGACAGCAGCTCAGGGGCAGCATCTTCTCTCTGGGATTCTTAGCCATGACCCCCTTCTCAATCTCTCTGCTGATTCAGATCTTGTCTTGTCATTCACAGCCCAGCTCGTCCTGGAAGCCTACTCTGACCCTCCCCCACCCCAGCCCACCCCCATCCCATGCTCACTTTCCTTCTGGCCTCTTGTTCCAGCCCATCAGAGCATGGGATTCAGTCCTGCCTCAAACTTCAGTCTATATGTGTGGGGGTCCTTCCTCATTATCAGTCTGCCCCAGGAGTGCCCAGACTCTAACCCCATACCCCACAAGGCTAAGCATAGGTGGGGCCTTAAGACAACATCAGTGGAGCATTCATTATTAACTGTACTGTTAAATGGGGCTGACTTCAAATCCTGCCTCAGACACTTGCGAGCTGTGTGACCCTGGGCAAGTCACTTCACCCTGTTTGCCTCAGTTTCCTCATCTGTAAAATGAGCTGGAGAAAGAAATGGCAAACCACTCCAGTGTCTCTGCCAGGAAAACCCCAAATGGAGTCACAAAGAGTCAGATATAATGAATAAACCAGGTTACACACCTGGTTCTCCTCAGGCACAGGCATGTTGTGGGTTAGCTAACATGCCCTGTTACAGCCACAAAGGCCAATGTGCTCCCAATCTATGTAGGGTAAATGTATGATGGCAACAAATGCCAGGAACCAGGGAGAGGGCTGGCTGGCAAAAGGCCCCAGGAGTTCAGGAGAGAGGCTGGTCAGGAAAGGGGAAATGAGCTAGGTTGGTGTTATACAGGGAGGGAGTAGAGGAGAAAGTCTGTCTGGTGGGCAGCATGGCCTGGGCAAAAGCAGGGAGGTAGTAAGTTGTAAGGATGTCCTGGAGTCATGAAACAATAGGATGGTTGAGGGAACTTCTGTAGGGTCTCACTCCCTGGCATTTATCCTGTATCTATAGGCCAGAGCCACAGGGGACAAGGAGGAGGAGGGAGCAGGGACGTGGGAAAGCCATGCTATAGAGTGAAGGAACATCTGGGGTGGAGAGAAGGTGGAGACGTGGATGGAAGACTGGCAGAGAGGCTAGTGCACAAGTCCAGGCCTGTGGGGGTGAGGCCTTGATTACAGCTGGAATGGGCAAGAAGAAGACCGATGGGAAAGAAAGGGGGCAGGGCCTTGGTTTCAAGCTGCTCTCCCGCTGGGGCTATCCGGCTCCGAGCCCCAGGAACAGAGAAGGTGGGAGCGGCGCTCAGTGGCCCAAAGAGAATGACCATGGGACCACAGTCCCCGAGGAGTGGGATACTGGAGAGAAGGAACCCCACCAGGGCAGGGGCAGGTGCCAGGAGAGGGTGGAGAAGAGGCTGCTGCTCCGGGAGGGCAGGGGCCACACCTCCCACACTCCAGAGGCACGTGGTCCACCCTTCTTTGTGGAGACTGAATGGACAAACGAGGTACTCCCCCATGAGCAATCTGGCACTGTCCAGGTTTGTTAGTGAGACCTAACCCATGGCTTCCATTGTCTGCTTTATTGACCAAGAACTGCCCCACCTGACCCCACTACACATCACAGAGGCTGCAACCCATTTCCTGGGGGCGGTGGCTCAGAGAGGGTCGCTAGTCCGGCACAGCAGCGGAGGACAGCCCAGGGTGGGGCCCTGGAGAATCAGGGCATTGGCTATATGGGAGCAGGATTTTGTCCCAGCCTCCTACAGTTTGAATGAAATTTAAGGAGGCTGACAAGGCCTCTAGCTTACTCTGCCTGTCTCCAAAGTCTTCACTCCCTGCCCGCCCTCCCTTCACTCACACTAAACTCCCCTCTCTACTTCCCCCCAGCCACGGAAGACCCTGGCTAACACTCCTTGTCCTAGGGCTGGCACCCAAGCTGGTAAAGTCTTATGTGCCACTGACGCAGACCCTGTCCTGGGGCTGGCACCCAGGCTGCCGGAGTCTTATGTGCCCACTGATGCAGACCCCGTCCTGGGGCTGGCACCCAGGATGGGACAGCCCAGCCCTACCTGCCCACTGAAGCCAATCCCATCCGGAGACCTGAGGAACTCGCTGTAGACTTGGTTGGCACGGGTGATGACCATGGCGACTGCGTCCTGATACTGGGGAGAGGAGATGGCCAGCAGGGGCAGGGCAGCCAATGGGATGTGGTCCTCACTGCCGCTCAGCCAATTCTCATCGTAGCTGTAGGGGTTCAGGCTAGAGGGAAAACACGGCAGCAGGCAGTCAGGGGCCCAGGCTCAGCAGGCTGGGCGAGTGGGGCTGAGAGGAGCTGGGGTCTTAGGCCCTGCAAGTCTTTAAGGAGCAAGGAAAGGGGAGAGACCCCCATCCCGAGCCCCACGTTCAGCTCTGCTGGAAAAGAGGAGATTCAGGCCAAAAAGGAGGGTATGGACCCTGCTTATGAGCAGAAACCCTCAGTGGCCAACATGGGGCAGAAGGCTCAGATGGTGAGCCTGTGGGGAGCTGGGAACAAGGGGCAGGGGGAGGCTTCCTGAAGCTGCAGCAGCAGCCTACAAGAGAGCCAGGCAGGAGGAGGAGAGGACAGCTCCGGGCAGCCAGGCTGATGGAGGGAGCAAAAGCATGGAGATGGAAAAAAGCCTGGCCTAGCCTGCCACGTGGGAGAGCAGGAGGCTGGGCTTCATGGGAAGGCCAGGGAGCTCTGGACAGTCAAAGGGCTCAGGCATTGGGGTACTGCTTTGGGCACAGGGTCTGGCTGTAGCCCATACATTAGGCTTCCAGGCTGAAACTGACTCAGACCCTGACCTGGCCTGGCCTCAGCTCAGGGCATTCTGGGAGGGGAAGCAGGCCTTGCCTGGCCCAAGAGCTGGGTGGCAGGGTCCCAGGGGAAGGAATCAGAGAGTGTTGAAAGAAAGACACATTTAAGAGCTTGAGCAAACGTACACCTGCACACATACAGATGGGCTGACACACGAGTTGTGTACATCTAAGTACATATATGTACACAGACACTCCAGAGACATACGGACTCCTCCTGTCCTGTTGGCTGGTTCAGCTGTGAGGAGGGCGTGGAGGGAATGCCATTGACTCCAGGGGCCAATGAGATCCCTAAGGCTGGGCAGCCTGGTGTGACAGGGGCATTCCAGAACCCAGGCCCAGAAAACAGAGTTCAAATCCCAGCTCTTCTCCTTGCTGTCTGGGTGGTCCTGTGCAGGCCTGGAGGCCAGGCTGAGGAGACCACCAAAGGACCAGTGGGGGCCTGCAGCCTCCTACTGCTTCTTGCCTCAAATTGCCACCACAGAGATGCTTCTAGAAGTTAACACGTCAGCAAACGTGTGGCCACAGCAGCGTCACACCCTGTGGGTCTAGGCTTTACTGGTGCACAGACGTTAGTCCCTGGGGGCCTTCACACACACACACACACACACACACACACACACACACACACACACACGCATGCACACACATGCATATATGCACACACACAGAGGTTCTTACAAACACAAAAGGCACAGACGCACATACACATCCATGCCAACACAGACACATATGTGCCTACGCTAGGAACACAGCGCACATGTAAACACACAGAAACACACACATGCACAGCCAGAGGCCAGCACATTCTACCTGTCCAAGCTGCCTCCCCACTCTCTTGCCCAAGCCCTCCTCTCCAGTCACTGGGGCTGGGCAGGAGCTGGTCCGACTCCCGGACTCCCAGTTTCCCACAAAGTGCCAGATCCCCTTAGCATCCTGAGCCCTCCCACCCAAGCCATCCTGTCTTGGGCACTTGGGCCAAGTTGAACCAGGCCAGGAAACAGAAATACCAAGTCATCCAATCCATTTACAAGCATTTATTAAGCACTTACTATATGCAGGGCATGGTGCCAGGTGCTGGGAATGATGACTTCTTGGCTCCTGCACCCACACAGTCTGGGGGCTTAGAGCCTGGGGGGGATTCCCACTGACAGGCCCCCCCCCAGAGTAACAGAAGCTGCAGGTTGAGCACAGATTGACTCCTAACCTGAGACGACCCCAGGGCCCTGAGGCCACCAGGTCCTGGTTCCTTCCTTGGATTCACCCACAACTGCAAGGGTTGCTGTCTCCCCTTTCCTTTTCCATTTAAAGCTCTGCGTCCTCCCTGCTCAAGGCAGGCCATCCACCGTGGGCTGACAGGAAATCTGGCAGCCCCAGGTGTTACACCTCTCCCTTCAGCCCAAGAGAGCCCAGCTTCCAGGTGACCACGTCCATGCCAGGCTGACTCACACCGGGTTGGCAGTCCCTCAACCCCCACCCCTAGTCACACCTCCCCAATTTTGTTCTTGGGACACTGATTGGAGGAAGTCAGTGGTAGTTCTGTGCCTTTCTCCTCAGCACATTTCATCGTGGTGGACTCCGCCTGAAGGTTCACCAACCTCCCCCGGCTTGTGGATTGCTGTGGCTGCCCTCCAATGCGGTCCCCGGCCCTCCCAGATGTGCTCACTTCAAACTGGGTGAGCCCACCCTCTCTGCCTTTATTCAAGTAATGGATAAAGAAGAGAAGCTGCCTAGAGCCTGGCCCAGACACCTTGGTATTGTTTGTCCTGGAAGAGGACCAGTGACATCATGGGTTGGTGTCTTGACTCGGGCGTGATTTGGATTGAAGCGAGGCAGAGTAGCACCACCTCACTCTCTCCTCCAGTCATTGGAGTCAGGGAGGGGAGACAAGAGTCAGGAAGATGCAGTGGAGGACTTTGGCCTTTCTACATCAAGGTCCTTCCCGGGTCTCAGTTTATCGGAGGCCACGCCCATTCAATGAGTAAGGGCTCAGTAAGTCTTGAGACAAAGGGCAGCTAGGTGGCGCAGTGGATAGAGCACCAGCCCTGAAGTCAGGAGGACCTGAGTTCAAATCTGACCTCAGACCAAACACTTGACACTTACTAGCTGTGTGACCCTGGGCAAGTCATTTAACCCCAAATTGCCAAAAATAATAATAATAATAATAATAATAATTCAAAAAGAATTGAGATAGAAGATGGCCCAATTGTCCATCACAAAGAGGGGAAGTCTGGGAGGGGGAGACCCTGTTAGGTCAGAACAGGAAAGAATCGCTATTTATGCCACATATTGCTCTTCTAAGCCATGTAGATCCAGAACAATGAGCCACAGACTTTGGCAATGGGGGCTGTCAATGGTTGGCCAGCCAAGGAAAGCCAGCAGGACCTGGATTTAAAGGTGGAGTCAAGTAGCTCCAGGAGAAACACAATGGGCTTTGAAAAGCCTGTCTTTCCAGAGCTATATTTCAAGAAATCAAGAGTGAAAACCAAGCAGAACAAGAAGCAAACTGCCCCAGCTTTTTGAAAATGATAATAAAAATAAGTAGATGAAAATTAGAATAAAGAAATAATCTAGCCTCCAAACCCCTACATATCTTATGACACATTAGCAGCCCAAAATCGTGTTCCTATGGACAGAGCACCCACAGGAAAGGGTGTGGTGCCCCTAGACCCAGGCACCCGCTCCCAGCTCCACCACCTCAGGCCTTCTCCCACCCTAACAGACCCCTGCTCCTCAGATCGCAATAAAATAGGCAGAACAAAACATTATTACTAATGATTTATACAGCCAAGGGTAGGGAGGTGGTGCAGCGGATAGAGCCCTGGGCCTGAAGTCAGGAAGACCTGAGTTCAAATCCAGCCTCAGACACTTACTAGCTATGTGACCCTGGGCAGGTCACTTCACCCTGTTTGTCTCAGGTCCTTATCTATAAAATGAGCTGGAGAAGGAAATGACAAACCTCTCCAGTATCTTTGCCAAGAAAACCCCAAATGGGGTCACAGAGAGTTGGATACAAATGAAAACAGCTAGATAACTATACAGCTAAGTAAATGTTCCTTTGTTTGTATGGAATATGGGAACATCTGAACACAGCTAAATTAAGCTGACCCATTGTCCTGGAAGATGTGGTGTGAAAGTGAGGGTCACTGGTATTGCCCACCCAGGTCCAGCCCTCACATCCACTGAGGACAAGGCAGGCACACCCTAAAGCCAGGGAGGCCATGTGGGAAAGATGAAAGGGTATGATGAGTTAGGGTGGTGACAAAGATTCTGGCCTGACACTCCCCCACCAGCTCCTCCCCATGGTGTCCCTGGGCTCTGCAGCACTGCCAGCCTAGAAGGCCAGAAGAAATGTCCCCACTGGAGGCCTCTGCTCCATAGACCAGGGTGCCCAGCGCCCCTTGCCATCTCCTACCCAATCCCCACCAGGATTGGGCTTCCAGAGGAAAATTCACTCTAAAAATGGGCTAAGTGCCTGTTGCAAACTGAGTGAGAGGCCAAGCTTAGGTAAGACAAGGCCTATGCCCTCAGGGAGCCCACAGACTCATTGGACTCATCCAAGACCCCATCCCAGAGAATGGCAGTGCTCAGGAGGCCAGCTAAACTGCCTGAGGTAAGCACTGGGGCATCAGGGAGGACCCTAGGGAAATGGTGGAATTGGGGATGGGCTCTAAATGATGGTACAAAATTAGGCAAAGAGGGGAAGAGAGGCCATGGGAGGAATTGGGAACTGAGCCAAGGAACAGCCAGGACCGCTCAGGGAAGCTCAGGGAAGCAAGCTCTCCAGCCCACAGCAGCCCAGCGAGTGTGCACGAGAATGGTTACGAGATGAGGCTGGAAAGGGAGGTTGGGCTCAGACCGTGGAGGGCCTGCAGACAGGAGCAGCAAAGCCAGCTCTGTGGGCAGTGGGAGTCAAGGGCACTGATCCTTTCTCTGGGAAGGTGCCCAGCAAGAGTAAAACCATCCTGGGCAAGACATTGGTCCCCTGTGCCTCCCATTCATTTGGTTGGGAGACCCTGAACCTGGAGAGCCTGCTGGCCGCAGGCACACATAAGAGTGTACCTCTTGAGTGCTAGAGAGTTTGGTCCCGGGGCTAACGAACGAACATGACATGGGAGAGGAAACAGCAGTTCAGGCGATTACTGACGTTGAGGGTTGGAAAGGAATGTCACACCTGACAAGTGAGGCGAGCTCCTCACAGGGTCCGCAGCCCGGGCCAGTTGCCTGCAGTTGGCTCCAGTTGTCCTTCCTCCTCCACCCATCACTGCTGGTCCTTCCCCTGGGCCAGTCAGACCACGTCTTGTCTCTCCATGCCAAGACCACTTGTTAAATTCTTAAAGAAAACAGCTATCATGCCTGCCCTCCTTCCAGCCTCCAAGCTAAAGGTTTCCCCTTCCTTCAAAAGAGTTTCTGTGTGTGTGTGTGTGAGTGTGTGTATGTGTGTGTGTGTGTGATAGAGAGAGAGAGACAGAGAAAGACAGAGAGAGAGAGAGAGAGAGAGAGAAAGGAGGGAGAGGGGGAGGGAGGGAGGAAGGGAGGGGGGGAAGAGAGAAGGGAGAGACAGAGAGAAGAGAACAGAGGGAAAGATAGAGAGATGGAGGAAAGAGAGAGAGAGGAGAGAGACAGATAAAGGGAGACAGAGAGAGAGAGAGGAGAGAGAGAAAGAAAGAAGGGAGAGGGGAGGGAGGGAGGAAGGGAGAGAGAGGGGAGAAGAGAGAAGGAAGAGACAGAGGCAGGAGACAGAGAGAAGAAACATAGAGACAGAGGGAGACAGAGAAACGGAGAAAGAGACAGATAGAGGGAAACAGAGAGAAAGAGAGAGAGAGAGAGAGAGAGGAAAAAGAAGAGGGAGAGGGAGAGTGGGGGGGGGAGGAGCGCCCATGTTTGCTCTATCCTTCTCAAAGGATCTATGGCTCAAAGCCTGAACTTTTGGCTAAGAGACAGCAGAGCCCACTCTTCCTCTCATGGGTTGGAGACAGCAGCTCCTCAGCTAAGGACTACAGCTGAACCCAGAAGCTATAAGCCCAGAGAAACTCCATAACCTTGTACCCAGGAAAGCCAGGGACAAAATCACAACAGAGCCCCATTCCCTGTGACTGTTGGAGCCCAGTAGTGGGTCGGCGGGGGCTAGCACCTGCTGCGCCAAATGGCCATGCTGTCTCCCCAATGAAATGGAAGTTTCTGGAGGGCAGGGACTGGGTCATCTTTGGCATTGTGGCCCCAGTGCTGTCCAGTGAAGGAGAGGCCTGACCCTTAGCCTGAGGCCCAGAGGCCAGAGCCAGGAGCAGTGAATAGAATGCAGATTTGTATCCCTTCTTTATCTAAGAAGTCCTGTCCAATGGGCAATGTTAGCACAGCACTAAGGGGAGGATGTACTTCGGTAAAGATCGATGCTGTCAAAAATGTGTCGATAAATCCTAAAACTTCACCTTGTTTGATTCTGCCCAATGCACTAGCCTGCCAAGGTCGTTGGGAATTCTACCACTGCCATCCAGTGGGTGGCACTCCTTCAGCTTTGGGCCACCTGTGCCTTTCTCCAAGATAGAAGGCACAGGGTCCAACAAAGATCACTGGAGCACTCCACTGGAGACCCGCTTGCCAGCTGACCCAACCTATAATGACTGACTTTTCTTGGCACCTACAGTCACTCGGTTCAGATCCCCTCTGACTGTCCTCACGTCAAGCCTGCATCTCGTGAGCATGAGTTCAGGAAGACCATTCAGATCTCTGGTGTGGGAGTGTAGCATTTCAGCTGGCTGAGCCTGGACCAGCTGTGCCATGGTTAGACCCCTGTGCTGCTGCTGAGGCCCTCCCTGGTGAGGATGAGAGGAGTCTTGGAGCCCACACAGGACAGCCAGGAGTAAGCCTGATGGGCAAGAAGCATCCCTCCTTTCTTCCTTCCTTCCTTCCCCCCGTCTGTTGGAGCTGACTGCCGGACCAACTGTTTTGTCCCCGAGAGCCCACTCCAGAAGACAGCACTTCAATTACTGCCCAAGCTTCTGATTCTCCATGGAGGGGATCCCGCCCTTGGTGGTTTCTTTCAAGGTTTAATGTACAATTAATCAATTGTTAATTAGCTAATTAGTTAACTATTAATTAAGTATGCATGGAGTTCAGTGAGGCTAAGTGCCCAGATCCATCCCTAGGGCTTTAAGAGAGAGGCCAGCAGCTGCACGCCTGCCTGCCTGCCTGGCTTTCTGGGGCCCTGGTCACCAGCTCTTGGGCTAAGGCTCTTCCTGACCCAGGTAAGGAAACAAGGGGTGGGGGTAGGGTGGCAGGAGTCTAGGAAGAGGGTGCCAGATTTCCCAGGTTCCCAACGTCTGGGCAGGCAGAGCCGCCAGAAGATGGGGCATCTTCCCCAAGCCTGGGGACACAGAGTGTTAGGGGGGAATGGACGGTGTCACCTACAGGCCTTAGGCACGCTTGAGGTCTGGGGCCCTTCCCTCATTTTTGTGAACAGAGACTGACGTGACAAGGCCCCCACCTCTGGCATTCTCTGACCTGCGCCCACCCCTAGAATGGGAGAAATCTAGAGTTAGAGGAAAGTGATGGGGGATGGGAGGCGCTGTCTGTCCCCTCCCCCCAGGCTCCAGCCCATCCTTCTGATTACACTGGGCTCTCTCCAGCTCCTTCTGGGCCTACCTCCTCACCTCATCTCATCTCACCTCTGTCTTCCGCTGATGTCCATGTGTGTGTGTGTGTGTTTGTGTGTGTGTGTGTGTTTGTGTGTAAATACGTTTGTGTACACTATGTATGTGTGAGTGTACATGCGCTTGTATGAACACGTGTATATGTGTGTATACACATGCTTATATGTACACGTGTATGTGTGCACATGTGCTTGTGTATAGATGCTTGTGTACATGCATGTGTGAGAGTGTATATGTGCTTGTATGCACACATGTATGTGTGTCTGTGTGCATATGTGCTTATATGCACATGTGTATGTGTGTACATGTGTCTGTGTGTGCTGACGCTTGTGTACATGTCTGTATGTGTGTGAGTATACATGCACTTGCATGAGCATGTGTATGTGTGGGTGTGCTTGTATATGCATGTGCTTATATGTACATGTGTGTGTGCATATGCTTGTATATACAGATGCTTGTGTACATGCATGTACGTGTGTGAGTGTGCGTGCGCTTCTATGCGCACGTGTATGTGTGTGCATGTGCTGGTGTACAAGCACGTGTGTGTGTGTGCATAGGCATATAAAAGGGGGTAAGTGAATGAGGGGGGCTGTAAGCCAGACCTCTAGATGACCCCAGGGACTGGCCCAGAAGTTTATCTACCACCCTTCGTGTGCCATCACAAGATGTGAAGGAACAGCCCCAGCAGGTCTCCCCACAAACTCCCCAGGACAGATGAAAAGAACCTGCCTCAGGCAGGGGTAGGCTCACACACTTCACCCAAGGCTAACTTAATTGGCTCCACCTCTGGATGGGGTCGGGCATTTCTTTGTTTCAGTTGGGCTAAATTCATCCCTTAAATTAAGCCCCCTGGGAGCCCAGCCCCAGCCAGTGTGACAGCAGAAATGGGAGAGGGGGGAGGCAGAGTGCGATCTTCCATGGGTCTTGAAGGAGGACCCAGAACTGCCAGGGAGGGAGGGAAGAAGGGAAGAGGGAAGGAGGGAGGGAGGGAGGGAGGGCATGGTCTCCATTCAGACTGAATCACAGCCCACAAAGCCTTGTACCCTGGTCTCCTGGCTCACAGGTCCAGACCCTTAAGGAGAAGCCCCAGCATCAGTACCCTGGGGAGTCCCAGGCCCCTGGAGGGTCTGAGGGTACCAAAGCTGAGCCCAGTCCCTGGGGATGGCTTCCATTGGAAGGATCAAGCAGCAGCAGGTTGGACTCCACAGGGATGGTCTGCCACATTGGTCAGCCAGAACACTGTCGGGGGATGGGGGGGTGTAGAATAGCCAGGCTGCTCTGGTCCGGGCCTGTCACCCCGCTACCCCAGTGCACAGGCTTCCCCAGTACGGTGCTCACTGTGGCCCATGAGGCCAGTTACAGTCACAGATGCCAAAGGGCCTGCCTAGCAGCTAATTCCAAGCCTTCCCAAATTGACCCCCCCATTGCAGGAGACTTCCAGATACAAAGGAGTCACGTGTTCTCCTGTGGCCCCAGCCTCTACCTTCCCTGGCACATCCAGTGTTTGGCACCTTCAGAGAGCAGGGCTGGGGCAGATAAAGTCTCTCTGAAGACAGTCTGGAAGATGCCCTCCAGACTAATATGGGGAGATGGGCGGTGGGTCCTGCTGGGCAACCTCCAGAGGATCTCCTGGCTCCTGCTGGTGGCTGATAGGGCCCAGAGCATGCACTGTCTCAGCCGGGACACCCACACACCCGCCTCTGCCTGGGGCAGCAGATGGCAGATACCCAGTGCACCACAGGGCCTGGGTCCGTCCTCCCCAGGGAACATCCGCTCCCCAGATTCCTTCCTTTCTGCTCTCTCCTGGACACCGATGTCCCCACCCTCCCATCCCACCAGGAACCTCCTGTCTCACTGCCTCTCTCCTACAGGAATGCTGGCCCATTGGTGCCCAGTCAAAGGGACAACTTCCCTCGAATCATGAGACACATACATGAATACTCCCTTCACACCCATTTCACCAGTGGACAGATGAGAACAAAGGGCCCATCCTTGTGTACGGAGGGATCTCAGAGTCCCTGGGCCATGGTGAGAGCCCCTCTCAGCTACTCACAGCCCAGACTGGCAGTGACGGTGGGGTCAGACGAGTGCTGAAGCGAGGGGACAGATACACGTGTGCACAAAATTGAGACCAGACAGACAGTTGGAGCTGCATACCCACCCACATCTATGCCCGCACTGCAACCACACCCAGGCACGGTGGGGCCAGGCCCATAGCATCGCAATGCCAGCCCAACTTACTTGGAGATGAGAGAGAAGGCCTGGGAGCAGATGGCTGGGCAGGGCACGAACTGTGTGAGGACACGGCCCAGAGCCGCGGGGAAGTGGGCGCGGGTCACCTTCTCCAGCACTGAGCTGAAGGTGTGGATGTCAGCCGCCTTGCAGCCTGGGTCTCCACTGCCTGTGTCCAGGATGTTCCCTCCATGCAGAACCAGGAGGAGGACGTGCGTTCTGCAAGCCCGCTGCTGAGAGCTTCCCTGGAGGAGAGAGGGGCAGGTGAGGAAGACTGCCCGGCATGGCCAAGGCTCCCAGCTCTAGGCCCCGCCCTCCCTGCCCTGCCCCAGCCCTCAAGAAGCTCGTAGCCTTGGAGAGGAGACCGGCCGAGCCCACAGCATGGCTGGAATGAGAAGAACAACATTTCAGGAAGGAGAGGTCACTCCTAACCGGCGGAATGGGGGTCAAGGAAAGCCAGAGGGCAGTGCTGAGGCTGGACCTCAACAGGGGGAGAGGTGAAGGGAGGTAAGCTAGGCCTGGGGCGGTCAGCAGAGAGCAGCACAAGTTTGGGGAGTTTAGGGGGCAGCTAGGTAGCACGGTGGATAGAGCACTGGCCCTGAAGTCAGAAGGACCTGAGTTCAAATATGGCCTCAGACCAAACACTTGACACTTACTAGCTGTGTGACCCTGGGCAAGTCACTTAACCCCAATTGCCTAAAAACAAAAAGAAAAGAAAAAGAAATAGAAATGGGGAGCCATGGAAAGTTCAGGAGGAAGGGAGTGGATCATAAAATCAGTGAGTGACCTTGGATGCCAGCTGGTCCAAGGCCTTCCTTTTATAAGAGAGGAAACTGAGGCCAGGCAGTCACACAGGGAGTAAATACCAAGGATGGATTTGAATTCAGGTCCTCTGACTCCACAGCATCTCAATGACTCCTCACCTGACCTGAACTTTAGTACAATTATTTTGATGGTGCCACAGATGAATTAGAGATGGCAGAGAGTGGAAAGGGAGATCTGTTAGGACACCATAGAGGAATCTAGGTGAAAGGCAGTGAGGTGAACTAAGCTGGCAGCCTGAGAGGGGATTGCATTAGGGTCCACCTTCAAAAGATCCTGGGCAGCAGCAGAGACATGGGGGCTCAGGACTAAGAGGGAAAAAAGGTTCTGAGGTCTAAATGCTCAGTGACTAGGGAAGGGGAGGGGACAGAAGGGAGAGAGCTGAGGCCAGGGAGGGGCCAGGGAGGGCATTCCTCCCCACCACTGGAGGGCTTGCCTTCAATCCCTTAGCTGATCCCACTGCCTGGCTCTGCCTGGCTCTGTCTCTGCCTGTCTCTGTCTCTGCCCAGTCCCCTTGTCTCTCTGCCTGTCTCTGTCTCTGTCTCTCTCTAGCCTCCTCTTCCCTTTGTGTCTGTCTCTGTCTCCCTCCAGCCCCCGCTTCTCTCTGCCTGTCTCTGTCTCTGTCCAGTCCCTTCCTCTCTCTGCCTGGCTATGTGTCTGTCTCTATCTCCCTCCACCCCCAACCCCCCGTTCAGCTGACATCTCTCTGCAAATGGCTACCAGCTCCATCTCCCAGGGCCCCATCACCAGCTGCCTGCTGAACACCCCCTGTCATGGCCCTCTGGCACTTCAGACTCAATACGTACAAAACAGAGCTCTTGGTCCTCTTGTGATGGCTTAGGCTGGAGCCAGCCCTCATCACTGGACTCCTGCAGTTACTGCCTCCTTCCCCATCTCCCTTCCTCCAGTCCCTCCTCCCTTTAGTAACCAGAAAAATCACCCTAGAGCCCAAGCCTAGGCATGTTCATAGCCTGTCTCCAGAGCTTGCCACCCAGGGGAATAAGTGCGCGCTTTTCCCATTTGGGCTGAGGTTTGTACATTTGTAAAATGGGGGTCATAGGCATACCCCACCTCAGGCATGTGATGAGAAGCTCTTTGTGAGTTTTGTGGGAAGTGAGCAATCATGTCCTCTCCTGCCTTCAAGCATGCTGTGGCTCCCCAGTGCCTCTAGAATCAACTATAGACTCCACAGATTGGCATTTAAGGGTCTTCACAAAAGATAAAGAGCCTTTCTGCATCGGGGATCTCACAGGGCAGGCATTAAGCCCCTCATTACTGTAGCCTCCCCCCCATAACTCCTCTCTGCAGTATGACTGGGGCCAGGGAAAGCCAGCTGAGGGCAGGACGGCTCAGTTGGTCCCCTGCTGCTAAAACATTCTTGGGAAAAGAGAGTCGGAGCCTGGCCCCCAAGAACAGAGTCCTGCCTCAGATCCTCCTGCCATCTGCTCTACCGTTCACATTTGCAATGCAGGACCTGCAGGACCACCTACCTCAGCGTCTTCATGGATCTCAATGCTGCCTTGGGCTGGAAATTTCTGTCTTCTCAAAGAAACTCGGTATAATTCTCCTGTGTGGAGGGGAAGAACAAATATGGGAGAAAAGAAGACTAATCGTCACTGCTCACACATCGCACTTTGTGGTCTGTTTAGGAAAGGGGTTACCTCTGTGATTTATCCCTCCAACCAACAGCAGAGGGTTCTCCCACTCAGGAAAGTCCAGGCTCTCTGTGGTTCTCAGAGAGCTGTCTATCTCCATCCCTTAGCTCTGTGGTTCTCAAAGTGTGGTCCATGGACCACAAGGTCAAATCTATTTTCCTAATAGTTCTACAACTGAGCTAAACAAAAGCTCTTTGGGGTCGTCAATAATTGTTAAGAGTGTAAAGGGGTCTTGAGATCTCAAATTGTGAGCATTGCTGCCCTGACTCTAGTTGGGGGCTCATATTCAGACCTCTGGGCTACCCAAAGGCAGCCCCCAACCCCAACCCAGAGCTCTGGCATGGCAGACCGTGTCATCCTTCGAGGCATCTGCCAGCACTGGCAGGGCCAGCCTTTTGTGAGGCGAGAGGACTGAGGGGGCCTTCCTGAGGTGCCAGATCTGTCATACACATCTCAGTGGACACCTCCCTGATATACTGGCCATACTGTCTTGTGCAGACTCTCTGTCCCCCCCCCCACTCAAATTTCACTGTACATTCATTGAGGACCTACTAAGGGCACAACTGCCCCTTCCCTATCCCATCCCAGGATTACTCTGGGAGGCACACAGAGGCCGCAACAGTCCTCAGGATTACCAGCAGTAGCCACACAGCCCTGGTCTAGATGGGAGTAGAAGAAAATGGAACTAGAGAGGAAGTCATGCTGTCCGGAGGGAAGGAACCCCCATCCTCCTCACCGCTATTGCCATCCCAGTCCTCTCTGCCTGGGACAGAGTCCCCTGGCCACAGTCTTGCATATGTTTGTTTCCCTCTACTTGGAACCCCCTTCCCCATGCCTCATCATGCTGTGGAGTGACCCTGGGGGCCCGAAGGCCCATAAGACAGGGCTGTGAGGCTGTTGCCCAAGACTCCTCCCTGGAGAGTTGACCACCAGGCAGTCTGTGGGTGAGCTGTGGAGCCACTGGATTCTGGGCCAGGTAAAGGAGGGGATGCCCCTCACAGAGGAAGAACCGCCAGACAGACAGCCCCATCTGAGCAAGAACCAAGGGGTCTGGCCATGCAGTAGGGGTCCAGCTGTCAGAAGCTGATGTCTCCACCAGGGGACATCCTCCTTCCTGGGGTAGCCGACAAGACCACTGCTATGATGCGATGGGCTGACATATCTCCCACACTTGAGTGTTACAAAATGCTTTCACTGGAACAACTTTGAGAGGGAGGTAATGCAGAGTCATCACCCCAATTTACAGGTGAGGAAACTGAGGCAAACAGTAGCAGCGGTTTGCCCACCATTATACACTTAGTAAGTGTCTGAGGCCAGATTTGAAATCATGAAGCTGAGTCCTCCTGACTCCAAGCCTGGTGCTCTGTGCACTATGGCGCCCCCTAGTTAACCCAAGCACTGTATAACTGTCAGTTATTCTAATTATTATTATTCTAATTATTATTATTATCCCTGGCCTGTACACCTACTTTCTCATGGCTGTAAAAGCTTATAAGAATGGCCTAAATACACATTGAGGGTATCCTTGATGAAAAGGCCAGAGGAAATCAGATGGGTTGTTATAGTCCTTTCTACAGAAGACTGTATCTTCACAGTCACACTACTAATGTCCTAAATCCTGAACCAGACATTCTAGGCCTTCTACAGGCTGGGCCCACCTGCCCCATTCAGACTGGTCACCCACAACTCACTTGCACCAGGCTAATGCCCACGTCTGCCACGTTGCTTAGGGTTTGGCTCCTCTGCCAGCCCAGCTCTGCCCCCCATCTGCTGCCCAGGTCTGGCTCAGGGCACTGGTTCAGGACAGCCTTGCTCTCACCCGCCCCCCACTCCTACCTCTTCACTTGCTCAGCAGAGAGCCATCTCTACCCACAGGAGGAGGGCTCATACCCAGCTTCTAGCTGAGGAAGGTGGGCTGCAGAAGCACCCAGATCAGGGCTCCCTCCAGCCACCAAGTGGACCCTGACACTCAATAGTGAGCTTGCCATCTGCTCAAGGACGTCAGCCTTGGCTTGGTCAGGAAAGGGGGTCCCTGGGGCAACCAGAGGTTAAAACTAGATAGGTAAAGGGCACTTTTGTCTGGCGTTCTCACCCTTGACAACCCTACCATGAGGCATTATTACAAACAGAAATTCAACCAAGAAATGCCTGAAGTGGGATTTGAACATGATCTCCACACCAGAGGGCTTCACTGTCCCCTCTCTGATACCCCGGATCCTCACCCTGGTAGAGCTGCCCTCCCCAGAATGACACCCTCCAGCTGTAAGAAGGGCTATCTTTGCACATTTTAATCACAGCCTTGGGAAAGCACAAATTGTGTCTACCATTCCCCTAATTACCAGTGCATCACAACGCGGGGTCCTCGGCTGGGAAGAAAGGGAGTGAGAGAGGGAAGAAAGAAGCCTCTGACCCAGGGCCAGGGACCCCCTGCCTGAGCTCAGGACCCTCCCTCAGCTGCTCTCTCTGCACCACACTGCTCCCCGCCACCGCCCTTGGCTTAATTGTCCTCACCCCCCATGCCTCCCCATCTCTGAATGCAAACCCAGGCTCTCTCTGCATGCTACCTCCTCCCCTGCCCTGGGCTTAATTGTCCTCCCTGGACAGACAGATGCCTCCTGCAGGTTCTCTCCTGACCGCCTCTCTGTCATCTGACTATGTGTTCCACGAGCTTCTCAAACTCAAAATGTCCAAAGCAGGACTCAACATCCTCCCCCACCTAGATTCTGTCCACCTCCAAACGTCGGCAAGGCCACCTGCTGATCCCCCAGGCTCACGACTTCCTCCCAGGCAGCGTGGGGTGGTTCAGTAGATAGATCACTGCTCCTGGAGTCAGGAAGACCTGAGTTCAAGTCCAGCCTGAGATTCTTACTAGCATGCTGACCCTGAGCAAGTCACTTAACACCCTGTCTGCCTTAGTTTCCTTATCTGTAAAATGGAGATAATAACATCTTTCTCCCAGGTTTGTTGTGAAGCCCTTTGCCCAGTACTTGGCACATAGTAGGCATTTAATAAATGTTTATTCCTTCCCCTCTCCTTGACTTTTCCCTCTCCCTCGCCCCCAGAAGTGGTCAGTTGACAGAGAGCTCCCCCCCCCCCCCCCCATCCCCTTCCGACCCTCACATGGCCCTCCTATCTAGTTCAGGTGCAGCCGGGTCTCCACTGCGCTCCTAGCTCCTCTCCCTCCCGAATCCATCCTCTCCCCACAAGCCAGAATCATCTACCTGAAGCTCAAGTCTAAGCCTCCCCCTCCCTGTTTCAGAACCTTGAATGGCGCCTATAGGGTAAGATGAAAGTCCTTCCCAGTGTGGCTCCAGCCCAAACTTCCAGACCTTGACTGCTCCCGGGACTGAGCGCTCAGTCTGGCAAGGTTATCTCATGTCCTCCTCCCAAAGGAATCCTTCCCTGGTCCTTGTGGCTGCTAGAGAGCTCATCAAATCACTTGGTTAATACTTATCTATTTACAGTTACACTCCTTCCCCTCTCTCCCCTCCCCATATGTAAGTGCCTCAAGGGCAGGGCCTGTTTTCCCTCGTTGTCCCCAGCATGTCCCAGAGCTTGGCACATCATACAGTAGGTGCTTAATAAAGTTTGTTGGATTGGAAGAGATTATGAATGAAAAGCTCTAGTTAGTAAGGGCCTAGCATGTACCAGGTTCTGGGCTAAGTAAGCCTGGGGATCCAAAGATGAGAGGGGGGGAAGGAAGGAAGAGTGAGGGAGGAAAAGAGAGACAGACAAAAAGAGAAACAGACAGAGACAGAGAGAAACAGACAGAGAGACAGATAGAGAGAGATTGAGAGACAGACAGAGAGAGACAAAGAAAGACAGACAGAGAGACAGAGAGAGAGAGAGCTAGAGAGGGAGAGGGAGGGAGAGAGAGAGGGAGAGGGAGAGAGCCTGAGAGACAGACAGAGACAGATAGAGAGAGAGACAGAGACAGAGTCAGAGTGGCTTGCAGAGAGACAGAGGAGAGAGAGAGACAGAACTAAAGGGGAGAGGGAGAGAGCAGATGGGGGGGAGGGAAAAGAGAGGAGAGAGGGGGGAGGGTAAGGGAGAGAGAGAGAGGCTGCCCTCCAGGAGCTGCCATTCTATGCCCCAGAGCACAAGGGGAGATCTGGCCAGACACATGGGCCTACGTTGGGAGGCCTTCCTCTACTTCCCCCCTGCCCCAGCCTGTTGCGCCTAGACTTTGGGTACCAAAGACCTCTCCAGGCCTAGAGTGCTCAGGAGCCCCAGGGAAGCCAGCACTGAGGGCCCCAATGCCTCCCTCCCCAGTACACCACCCTCCAGCTCCCAGACCTCGGCCTGAGAAGCGACACCATGGAGGCGTGAGCATTCCCTCCTCAAGCCTGGCTTCCTCCCCCTTCTCACCCATCAGCCCTGGCTTTAATACAGAAGTTGAATCCTATGGGAAGAAGCGGTATGAGGGGAGGAGGAAGGGGGAACTGCTCCCCACTCCACTCCAGTGACCCCGGCTCCCCGCACCCCCATTCAAGGTCATACACAGGAAGTCGATAAATGGGGGAGATGTGGAAAAGCGGTAAATACGATCCTTCTCCACCCTCCTCGGCTGCCCGCCCCCACTTTGATTCAGGAGCTCAATCCGACTGGAATGTGCCTGCGTGGGGAATGGGGAGCAGGGGGTACAGAGCCCCTTTTTGTTACAATGGCTGCAGCAGATGGGGGGGGGCAGGGACAGGGGAGGAGGCGGGGCTATGCCCCCTCCCCCCGAGGCTGTTAATTCCACACCCGGACACAGCGGTCAAAGCGCAGCAGGTCGCTTCACCCAGCCCCAGTGGGATGGGGATGGCGGGCCGGCACTGACGTCTGAGGCCGCATCCAGTCCCCAGGGAAATCACCGCTCTTCCTGCATCTGCTCCCCCTCGGCCGCGGCTGCTCGGACTGACTTAATCCG